GTCCGTTATCGCGGATTGGGCGGTAATTCGTAGTTTCTGTGAAAAGAGGTTGATTGCATGGATCTGATTTGAAAGTTGCCTTGTAAGTACAATGCGACGGGCACAGACGCGTAGGATAGATCGTGTAGCAAGTTCGGCAGCAGATGCTACAGGTTGTAATTGGATGATTGTGAAGGTTTATTGTTAGTACACTTATCAATATGGACTGTAAAAATACGCAAAAATATGCAGAGTGAAGTTCTCAACGCAGGGAACAAGATGCATATTTTTATTCATTTTTTGCTCTCCTCCTGGCCTCTCAATATTTTTGTGTATCAATAATTTAATTTTCTGCCCAGAAAATATTATCTTTCTTGTAGTGTATAATAACTCATCAGAGGATTGGTCAGGTGTGATGAATCTGTTGGACTTTAGAAATAGTAAGTACTCACGTTCTACCTTTTCATCGTGACTTTCATAGTCTTCACTTTCACTCTCACTTACATCACAATCACTATGAATAGTTTCATTGGTATCATCGGACTCGTTATCGTCTTCTAAGTTAAGATTTGTGATTGCTTGTGCGATGGTGTCTTGAGAGTTTTCCTGAAAGTCATCTGCTTGATGCTTTCGACGAGTACGGAGCGTAACATATGTTCCGTTCTGTACATGTTGGTCGTCGTTGGTGAGAGAATTGCCGATGCAGCGGGAGCAAGTACATATGACGAGGGCGGTTGGTGGCATTAGGATGAATGGTGATGGTGTTGGACGTTTGGTTTGGGGGGATTTTGATTTGGGAGATGTGTAGTTAGATGAATGGCGGACGTCAACCAAACGTGGTTGACGTCAAGGGTCTCGTGGTCTTCGTCAGGCTCGGGTGTGCGTACGCCAATACATGTGCTTACGTCAAGCTCGGGGCCAGCCCGCGGCTCACGTCAGGTTGGCGTGAGCCTGGCGGGCGTCAGGGCTTTTCCCGCAGTGTATGAAACTTTTCCTTTCAGTACTTCTGTGCGCGTAGGAAATCTTTCCAGATGGTTTCCTTTAGTACTTCTGTGCGCCTAGGACACTATCGCAGAAGGCCAAGTGAGATGTTAGCCAATAAACCCGTTACGATCCAAATCGACTCCACGACATGTTACAACCACTCTGATTTTTTTGCAACTTGGTTGGTAAGGCTTCAGCTCAATTGACACTCTTCTTTTTAAAGCTTACTATCCTTGGTCAACCTTTTGCAGGCTGGAGATACCTACAGTACTACCAGACACCAGATACATATATAGTGTATGGGACTTGTAATTTTACCTTCTCATTTTCGATATCATAAGATAACTTTCTTGATCATCAATTTCTCACAAATGTTCATGTTACATTTTAGCAGATAGAGTAAAAATACAACATATGGTATTACTATGACTATTCAAACAGTGTTGCTGGGTTTACAGCAGAACTAATATCTATCAAATCCAGCTCGTGTATAAGCCCAGAAACTGCATCATCATGCTCACCATCTGAGCTACTGTCATCATCGTTGATAATCACAGAATTCTGGCCTTCGATATCGTCCTCGTCCATATCCTCTTCTTCTGTAACCTCTTCTTCCGTAGCTGTATCAATATCACCAGGAATCATAGACAGATGTCCCTCTTTGAGGAGAGTTGTGATATGATCTATCTGATTTTCCCATGTTTTCTTGAGGTCTTCATCTCCAACTTGGCTATGATGTGTCCGAGAAAAAACTTCAAGTAGTCCTTCATTCCACATGAGCTGTAGGTTTGCCATTTTAACAAACCGATTGTTGATGACCACAGTAGCTGCTTTCTGACGAGCCAGAGGAGGTAAACATGAAAGTGTGGGGTGAGAGGTCAGAGTAGTCGCTAGGATTGGGTCAGAGTTTGGTACCGATTTCAAAGAAAGGAGAGTCCTCCAGATTTGATTGTGGCTCGTGATTGCCCAACGCATAGCTTGGCGAGCCTCCCAGCCAAGCCGCCTGAGCTCCTTGGTTGCTCGATCAGCATATGCAACTTGCTGCATGCCATGTCTCGTCTTTGGATCTACTGCCCAAGGTGCTTCCAGTTTTGTGAAGAGAGAGTCGTTCCAGAAGGGATGATCTGCTTGGATATGAATTAGATCGTTATAATCAATATTTTCTGGGAGCTGATGGTGTGGATATTCCACGTGGTATTCCGCCCGACGAGTTTGATATGTTTCAACAACTTTCTTAAGCTGTGTTACATGCTTCCGAAGTGCAACAAGCAAATTGGTCTTTCCCTTATGTCCTAGTTGGAAGGGAGAGTAGTAAGCTTCGCACTTGTATTGAATTTCGTTCCAATTTGTGACTTACCTAGATTTGATTCATGTCCATCTGTGCGACTCTGTTGGAGTGGTCGCTTTTCCTCACATATGGCAATATACTTCAGCCCAACTTCGTGCTTACTGTACCAGAGCTTGAGGAATGCTTTCTGCTTGTTTTCTAATCCCAGAACATTTGCAGTGCCTACTTTTGCCGCCTGCTTATCAATTCGCTCTTTCAGATCAGCTGTGGACCGAAGTCTAGCAAGAACCTGTTCAGGTGTAAGCATTGGCTTTAACCTGCCAAAAAAACAACACTGTCAATAATTATAAATCCTAGTATATATGAATCGACTTACCACTCAGCTTCTAGTTCATCTTGTAAAGATAATAGACGACCAAGTTCTAACTGTTGCTTCAACAAGACTGTCTGCTTACTTGTGTATGCTTCGCGCTCGGAAGCCCACTGCCCACGGAAAAAATCGGCTGAATACTTGTTTCCAGGTAAGGCTGGGTTGTCCATATCAAAGAGGGAATTCAAAGAGGATTGGGCTTCTCTAGAGACCTTCACAGCATTTTGAAATCGTTTTTGAAGCCATGTTCCTATTGTATCAAGCCCACATCAGATAAGTATAGACGTTATAGAATTAAATTTAATCTTACCAGCTCCTTTGTTAACCTTGGAAGAATAAAATACAGCGCGCCAATGGATAGCCAGTATCCGATGAAGCCTAGTGGAGATGCGAAGGGGGGCAACGAGAGCGGATAAAAATGACCAAAGCCTCTCGAGGCCCTCACCATTGGAAAGCCCCCAATACTCGTTGAAGCGAGGGTGGTACATAATTTGACAGGCCCACTGATGCACGTATGCGTGGAATACGGAAGTCCCAAACTTCATCTTCTTGATATCCTCGTCATGAAATAGCCCACGCTGAAATTAAAAATTCAATCACTTTTGATTAGTTGCTAGCTGGTGAGTTATAAGCCGTGATGAGACAAAGACTGACCTTTGCTATATGTACATCGAGGTGGCAGCCGATATCATAGAGTACACCAATAAACTTGTCAGGGTACAGTTCTCGAAGCTGTTTGAGAATTCCCACAGGGTAATAGAGTCTAAACGTAAAGGCACATTAGGTCTTGGCTTGTTTTTTTGCTTGGTACGTGATTCAAAGCTCACTTTTCACCACTTTGATAGATATTCACAAATTGAAGAGGAACATCATGACGACATGCACTTGCAAATAGACCTGTATCATCACATATGTCCCATGATGTGCTATTCCGAACATCGTTGGCGGCGGTATGGGAATCAGAACACGAAGTCTAAATTCAAAGACACCATCAGTGTTGATGGAATTGAGATGAAACAGAAAAAAAGATACACACCTTAAGATTATTGGCTTGATTGTCGGTTTCTCGACAAGCAACAACGTCTTTTTCAAGCTTGCTAGGTGGAATGAAGAAGTGAGGATATTGGTCGTCTTGAAGCGAGTCTTTGCTGGCGTGAGACTGGTGGCGGTGTTGAAAATTACTGTCCATTGCAATGATAAAGTCAGGTTTGTTGGGAGACACCTTGACTTCTCCATCTGCTGGACCAAAGCACCGAGGACAACGAGCAGCAGAGATATCTAGGGGGGATAGTTGAAGGCCTTCTTCGTATAGAGTTTGTTGACCAACGAGAATTCGACGGTAGGCGTCAATTGCTTGAGTGAAAGGACGTCTGAGATTGCGATTGACATTCTTCTGGTGTCTTCCCTTGATTTGTTCGGGTGTCAATCTTGAATGACATTGTTCGTCCAAAAAGGACATCAGTGTGTCAATAAAGCCTGAAGTTGATACTGATAGGTGGTTCCAGAGGTGATGGTGGAATTGGACTAGCCGGACAGAGAAGGCGGTGCGAGGAAACTGAGGTGAGCCAGCTATGTAACCAAGGTGAAGAAGACGTATCACATCGGGTAGACAACCACAGAATGTGACTCGACGTCTTCTAGTGTGACCTAAGCCAATGTGCAAAGTGATAGTCAATAAACTAGAACGGAACAGAACAAAAATAACTACTTACTGAGAAGGTCAATCAGGTCAACTCGTCGCCGTCGAAGTTTGTCAGAAGGACACTTGCATTGAACCTCATTGGACAAATATGAGTACGGCTTTGTCCAATTACATGTAGAGTATTGAAGGTGGAGATATGTTGCCGTCAGTTGGGTTTCAAGTGCCTTCCACTTTTGTTGCCGCCTGGCTCGGGCTTCAGCATGTCGAAGTGATTTTTGATGGCTAGCATATTGGTCGCCGGAGAAGTCTGTGATTTCTTCATGGAATATTTCTTCATGGATACAATCATTTGTGTCTTCCCACCCATCATTGTCATCTTCTGTGGCAGAGGGAAGCAGGGGTGTTGGACGTTTGAGGAAACCAAGCTCTTGAGCAATCCTCAAAGCTTCAGGGCGGGTCATACCTGGTGGTGCGGTGTTGTTTTGTCGTTGACGGGTTCGTCGGTTGCCAAACATATCAGCATCATACCCAGAAAGACGGTAATCGTTACGTGGCATATTGGTGCGTTGAGATTCAAGTTGTAGTGGTAAGTCAATTGAGGTGGAGGTGGATGAGGACAAGTCCGGGGCAATACATATGTAGTTCAGGACTCAGTGAGTCAGGGCACAGGGACAGGGCTACGGCTACGCTACATATACGTTGTGTACACTATGTCATGCTGTGTATGTAGTGTACATGTGCCATAGGGCTCTTAAGCCTTATCTGGCTAAGTTGTATGTATGAAATTTCAAAAAACTTTTTGGTATTACTTTTGCTAAAATGCTTGGCCCAATCGAGAAAAAATAAAAATAAAATTCACCACAGCAGTCACAACGCAGCAGAGAGAAAAAAGTTTTAAAGGGTGCTGTCTCTTCAGCTGTGGTGCGAGTCGTCACCTCCCTCCCATTCCGCTGCTCTATCACCCACCTCTATATAGTCTCTAGTTCACCATCACCTTGCCACCTCTTTCTTTGCACACTCTTGCAAGATGGGCTTGTGAAACTATTGAAACTATTGGTAAGTTACTCTACGTGTTACGTTATAAATGCCTCTTATTCATTTCCTCTTGGTGTGCTTTCTAACAACCTTTTCATATGGTTTGATTCAGATGACCATCCTCACATCAACACAGTCCAATATCGGTGATTGGCTTGCCTGGCTTTTCCTCACCATCACCTCATCAGCTCTTCTTTCCCACGCTCTTGCAGCTCAACCAGGAAAGCAGTCATCTGATATGTGAAACTTCTCTCTACACTGTTCCTCATATATTGATAACGAGTATTTGTTAAGAATTGAAGAAAGAAACGATATTGAAGCTTTTATGGAGCTCATAACTGCTATGCTAATCTGAGAAAAAGGGCAAGTTGAATAAGATGTATCTTACATATCTTCAACTTGTCCAGTGCCGAGCTCTTCTGAATAACAAAAGTATGAGATTGAATATCTTATGAAAGATATTCAAAATGTGAGTGAGTTTTCAAGGTAAGTGAGATTTTCAGAATAATCGATTGGTTATGAACAATCTCAAAACCAATCAGTTTCCGGTTGATCCTGCTATGAGATCATCCTATGATTGCAAGTTTAACACAATCTCAGATCTCTTATGAGGGCAATAAAAGTTAAACTAAGAACTTATCGGGTTTGAACAAGTCATCCAAACCCATTCAATTTGTCTTTGGTCCTATGAACGAGATGAAAAATGATATCAGTTTTCTCAAAGACATTCAAAATCCAAAGATCAACTGGTTTTGCTCGGTCAAAACCAATTGATCTTCCTTTGTTCCTATGGAAGAGATTGGAAACAATCTCGGCTCTCTGATGTAATCTAGAGACTGATTTTTTTAACAAGATCAAAATCAATTGATTTGCTTGTGATTCTATGAAGAAGATTGAAACGATCTCGATTTTCACATCAATCTTATCTAGAATTTCTTGATTCTGGTTCCTGTACAATGACATCTGCTCTAACTACAATTCATCTACTATGAACAATCTAGCTTTGTAATTCAGATGTAAAGGTCTTATGAGCTGCCTTCTGGATCGGTTCAACTGGATTTGACCTAGATGATGAAACTTGTGATCTCCGGACATCAAACTTCAACGCATACTTCAAACTCGATCGGGTTCAACTCGGGACAGTGTGGTGGTAGGTATTGGAGGAGGATACCTAAAGATGATATTAGGGATTATCAGTAAGATGAACGAGATGCATTGAAGAGAGAAATGGGAGGAAATGAAGCAATCAAGTGTATCTTTTTGCTTACAGATATCAGCAATCAATTATCCACAATGGATAGATGTGTTAGTTGAGTTGAGTGAGCAAAATGAAGTCATCGACAGGGATTTGAAGGATATGAAAAATTATTGGTGGCAGCGGGGTAATCAAAAGGATGGAACAGATGGGAGCTTGAGCGCACCCTACTTTTTTCTCTCTGCTGCGTTGTGACTGCTGCGGTGAATTTTGTTTTTATTTTTTCTCGATTGGGCCAAGCATTTTAGCAAAAGTAATAAGTGTATATTTGGGGTACCGAGATGGGGAGATGCGTGAGATGGGTCGAGATGAGAGGGTTGATGCTGGAAGCAGCAGTATGGTACATTCTATTCACTGCTTCAAGTGGTTGAATAAGGTACCCCGAGGTGGAAAGTGTAGACGCTCTGATGAGAGCGGCGCTCTCAACTCTCTCAACTTCTGCAAATGGTGAATGCTCTCTTTGAGACTTCCGCCCGAGAGCAGCAATTTTTTGCTTGGTGACTTTTCACTGTGCACGTTCACGTTATATGTAGACTTCGGTCAGGTTCATTCGATGTCTGCCCAGGCTTCCTTTCGCTTCTTTTCCTGCTTGCTTTGCCTTCTCACATCCGGAGCCTCCATTTCAATCTTGTCAACTTATAACGTGTTGCGATGAAAGTGCACGCTATCAACTTTTACATTCCTTTGTGCCTGGTTTCGAGCACCATTGCTCATTTCACTCCTGGAAGTCTTCATCGTAAATATGCTCGTTCGGCCATAGATCCGGCGGGCTATGGGGCTACATCAGCGCATGTACCAACGACACCTCTCACCTCCGACGGTGCGCAACCTAAGCTCCAGGGCTATGGTCCGACCGTAGGAACGGCACCAAGCTCATGCGATCAATCGAATCCGAATGCATGTCAAACTTGTCAAAAGGGCGTAGTGTTCTCCCCTGAATTGAAACAGTTGGTAAACTTGAGACTTGAAAAGTCGGCAAACCATAGGTTCGTCGTGCTCTTGGATGATTGTGTTGATATTCAGTATTTGGACTGATCAGATAAACAGTTGGGAATGGGGTACACAAGCCGAATGGATTCTTGAAGGAAAATATCCTTCGCTCAGTGTCTATTCGGACACCCAGCTTCCTTTGAACCCTAAAGCCAACCTACCTTATCCAGCTGAACTCTTTACTATAATCGACCCAATTCTTCAAAGGCGCGCTCCTGGGATTGGCCCCATTATTGTTGATGACGCAGCGGGAGACCCGGCTAGTCTTTTAATTGGTGTGATGGTCATGGGTGCTACTGTCAAGAATAGCCCGTACGGCTGGGACCAAGCGTACTACAATCAAGTTGCTAAAGATCAAATAGACTTTCTGTTACAGAAAATTCGTCGCTCGAAAGAAGGGGCGGTGTCTCATCGAGTTAAAGAGCTGCAACTTTGGTAGGTTATGTCTTTATGAAAGATGATCCGTTTCTAACTCCAAACTTGACCGCATTAGGGACGATAACTTGTTCATGGCTCCACCTTCAATCATGTATTACGGAGCTGCGATGTCTGACTTGTATTTAGTGCAGTTTGGTTACGAGCAAGCCAAAGCTTATAGACAAGTGACGCAAGATCCTGTCACCAAAACTCGGTATCACATTTTATTAGGTTTCTCGCCAGTATATCTCAACGATGATGTTTTAGATCGGGGTTCTGACTGTATATATTCTTCCGTGAAATAGGATCATATGAAGACAAGACTCTTTGGAGCACAGGCAATGGATGGGTCACGGCTGGATGCATGCGAATGTGGGCGACATTGAATTTGATTCAAGACCCGGAAATCAAAGCACGAGCAAAGGCGTGGCAAGATGACTTGATCGAGTGGACAATTGAGATCATCGTAGGAGCGTATAGCTTCCAATCCCCCACTACTTTCCTTTTACCGGACCGTTATACGACCCCTGGTACATGTGAGTATAACCATCTGCTCAAGTATCATTGCGGCCTACTGATATGCGACTCTATGTACCAGTTGACGAGGTATCGGGTACCAGCTTGCTAGCGGCAAGTGCTTACAGAGTAGCTGTCGCAAGACCAGATCTGATTCACAGACTTCCGCTGGACAAGATCAACTGCGCTAGAAGTGCCATCATCACGAATCATATCAATCCCATCAATGGCTCAGTAGCCCCAGTGATCAATCCATTAGATTGGAGCAAGAAAGCTCTCCCCGGTGTAGTCAGTCCAGAGGGCCAAGCTTTTGTCCTGTTCATGGAGAATGCGTGGCAGTACTTTATTCGCTCTCCAGCTGGAAGAGCTTACCAGGATTCTTGATTATGCAGTGCCATATCGCGCCTGTCTCTCTTGTCATTTTCATCATGTAGGGCATGTTACTATCTGGATTTATCATATACACTAGTTACCATCCTACTAAATTCCAATCGAGTCATTTCTTCTAAATCATTTCTTCTTTTTATTTGTTTCACGATGCTAATACCTGTTGTCAATTGAAGTAAGATGTTTGGTTATCTGATCTCACATTTGATCCTTACTTACTTATCACCAAACTTATCTAATCTCATATCTCATTCTTGCTTTCTCATTACTAATCTTACATTATGTCATATTTATTAGTAATACAATCATTTGCTGTGACCTTCTTTAAGTGATGTATTTGATATATCTTATTATAGATAAAGGCTGTAGTCACTTTTGTACTCTTTCCCTTTTTCTCTACCAATTTCTACTCCATCATGAGCATCCAATTTGAAGTTGGGGAACTTGCCTATATACAGAGAAATATTGTTATTTGTAAGAATTTGAATTTGAATTGTTTAACTAGGCAGGACCTTGAAGAAGGTAATAAAAAGATAACTATCTCTGTTGCGTGTTGACAAGAAACAGCTGAGTCAAATGTGATAAAGGATCAACGCTCACCAACCTGAAGAGGCGGTTAGAGTAAAAGAAGACCAGAAGACAGTAGAAAGGTCACCAATGCACAGCTTGAGTCTCAGTGAGATCAAACAAGAAAACTAGTGAAAAGATACTGTGACTTCTTTTTAGATTCTTAATTCTTACTTTATTAGATAAGAGGAACAAAAACCAAAAAGGGGACAATAATAGAGTGCGGCACATACAAGAAGGAAAAAGAGAAACACAACAGTCAACTCTGTTCTTTCCCATATGTGTGTGATCACGTGATCAATTTGCACCTTACCCCATGCAAGTTCTGGTCTATATCTTTCATGGGTGGAGAAACCCAGTCAGAAACCCATACCTCTCTCCACTACCTTAAGCCATGGGCAATTTTGGGAAAACCAGGATGACAACCTGTGATGGGCCATACTAATGCTTTGACATATAGTCCCACTTACACTAGGGCTGTGACCCGGCCCTGAGAGTTCGTGGCCGGCCCCGGGGCCAAGCCCGACCCTGGGTAGACCCGAGGTCCCCTGGAAACTTCTCAGGGCCGACCAGGGCCTGCCCGAATCTCAGGCCTTGGGTGTCCAGGCAGAGCCGGGCCCAGATTTACGAGTAAAAAACCCTTGGAAAGGGGAAATTTTTATATTATTTTTGGCAAAAACAGGATCGGGCAGTCGGCCGGGCCGGGCGCCCGGGGCGCCCGCAGGGCTTTGCACCCTATTCTGATTAGGTTTCAGAGCCCCAAGGCCGGGACCGCCAGCGTTGGAAATATCGCCGGGCACCTTCGGCCGGGCAGGGCCGGGACCGGGTCACAGCCCTAACTTACACATTTATGGTGTACAAATATCAAATCTGTTGATTTTCAGACAGTTTGCCAGAATGTTCCACAGAATCACAGATACCCGAATTTTGGCGGCATCTGTGGTTCTGTGGTTCTGTATCGCCCTTGAACTTTGAACACCCGTTTTTTTTCCCAGTCTTTCACTCTTACCTACCAAGATCAAAATCGATATATCAAGTCTCATTAACTTCCTGCTGCTCAATCTCTTAACTCTACTTCAATCATTTCTTAACTCGACTTCCCTCGAAATCAACTTCACTGATGGCACGGACCAATCGGCGTCGAAATCTCAAACACTTGGTCCATACGGCAATCGATGAGACAAAAAAAATCTCAAACGCACAAGTTCTTGGCCTAGCATTTCAGCAGAATAAAAATGCTGAAAGTCTGTTTATTCTTCGATGTTTCCAAGCAATACTCACCTATCAAAATTAACAAACAGAACAATCAGAAAGCAAAGTAGATCCTATAGATGACTTTGAGGCCAAGAGGCCATTCTACACTTTATTACTTGGTGCTCTGGAATACCATTTAGCACGGTCTCGATCTGTCCAACTAGTCCTCCTTGGACGTCGTCTACGCCAAATATCTGAAAACGAAATTCATTGACTGGAAGAATCTCTGAAGATACTCACATCAACACGCTATCTTCAAGATCGGCCGTCACGCAAACGTAAAGGTTTGCGTGATACTTCATTTCCGCATCGGATCCACGATTTTGGTCGGTCTTTTGTGTCGATGGTAGGTCTTTTAATTTTATATAATCATTGCTTTTTATTTTATGCTAATTGTGGATTGTTTTTGACTCAATAGGCTCGAATGAGCGAAGCGCAATTCTGGAAATTAGTTGATATGATTGCGGGGAGCAAGGTTTTTCAAAACCAATCTCACAATCGACAGAAGCCAGTCGCATGGCAGCTGCTGGTTGCGCTGGCGAACCTAGGTTCTTCAGGAAATGGAGGCGACCACTCTCATCTTGCATATACTTTTCATATTTCGGGTATTTTTTTCTGTTAAAGATATAATTTTGATATCATTTTGAGACTAATTTAAATGTATTTCGATATTTTCAGAAGGTAGCATTCAAATCTGGACAAATTGATGTATTTACGCAATACTCCAACTCGAAAAAGACTGGGTTATGTGGCCAAATGAGGAAGAGAGAAATGAGCTGAAATCTTCCATGAATAGCAGTGTTTTCAAGGACACTGTGGGTTTCATGGACGGAACATTAATCCCGCTGGCTTTCGCACCGGTCACGAATCGTGAGGACTACTGGACTCGAAAGTTTTTTTATGCTTTCAACATCATGTTGGTTGGTGATGTAAATAGGAAAATTCGATTCTACGAGCTGGGTTGGTGTGGTTGTGCTCATGATCAAAGAGTTTTTCGGACATCTTTAGTAAGTTTTTTTTTCATAAGGGTGAGGCACTTCTTTAGTAAATTTTTTTTCATAAGGCTGAACTTCAATCTGAATGGTTTGCAGCTTCATCAGGATCCATCCCAGTTTCTTACAGAGGATGAATACATACTGGCTGACTCGGGTTACACAGTGTCACGTAGTGTTATCACACCATTCAAACGTCAGCGAGGTGAGGGTCAACGTCCTGAAGAAGATTCTTTCAACATGAAGCTCAGTAAGTGGCGAGTAATAATCGAACAGATTATTGGAATGCTCAAAGGCCGCTTTCAATCTTTGAAAGAACTCCGGATCTTAATCCGTGGTTGTCAAAGTGTTCTCCATTTAAAATGCGTTAAAATGCGTAAATTTTGATGGTTCCGCGGGGAAGGATGGACTCGTTACTCAATTTTTGTGTGGTGGTCTTTCCATTTCTGATGACACCAATCATTTGTTCAAATCCGATGTTTCTCTTGATGTCACAACCTTAGGAGGTTATGATGTAATATTAGGGATGGATTGATTACATTTGCATCATGGTTGGGTCGGGGGATCTGGACCATCGTTGCGCTTAGATTCTCCTCAATTTTCAGCTTTTTCCAATAAAATTGGTGAATATCCAACTTTTTTCAAATCCCAGTTTTCTTCGATTCTTTCATCCTCAATTACACCTATCACACCTTCAATTTCTTTATTGCCCTCTTTACCCAAGGAGTTTGCGCAATTCGCTGATGTGTTTCAATCACTGGAGTCTTATTGTTTACCTCCGCATCGTGAGGCTTTTGATATGGCAATACGGTTGAAGGAAGGTGTGGTTCCGACGTATGGTGGATCTTATTTGTTGTCAAGGTTGGAAGAAGTTGAGTTGAAATCATGGCTTGATGGACAATTGGCGAAAGGAAATATACGACCTTCTTCTTCATCGGCTGCCTCTCCCATTTTTTTTGTAAAAGTTCCTGGCAAGAAAAATCGTCCTTGTGTAGATTATCGTTCCCTAAATTCTATGACTATTAGAGATAGTTTTCCTATTCCTTTATTAGGTGATTTGTTAACTCGTGTTTCAGGTTGTAGATTTTTTACTAAGTTAGATCTTAAATCCGCTTTCAACTTTATTCGTATTAAGGAGGGAGATGAATGGAAGACAGCTTTCAGAACTCCATGGGGGTTGTTTGAATGTTTAGTAATGCCATTTGGTTTAGCTAATGGTCCTGCGTGCTTTCAAAGATTTATTCAATCAGTCTTATCAGAGCATCTGGGTATTTCTTGTTTTGTTTATATTGATGATATCCTTATTTTTTCCAGAACAAGACAGGAACACGAACAACACATTACAAAAATTTTGAGAAAGTTACAAGATCATAAGTTAAATGTATCACCTGACAAATGCCAATTTTATGCTTCTGAGGTCACCTTTCTGGGATTTGTTATATCAAAAGATGGTTTACATATGGACCCTAAGAAGCTGAGCACTATTGCTGACTGGCCTTACCCTGTGAATTCAAAACAACTTTAAAGGTTCCTTGGTTTTACTAATTTTTATCGTCGATTTATTCATCAATTTTCCGCTATTGCTGCTCCTCTTACTTCTTTGACACAAAAAGATGTGGATGTGGTGGAAGGTTTGGAAAGTGCTGCGTGTGTTTCTTCGTTTAATTCCCTCCGTTTGGCTTTTACTACTGCTCCTTTGCTTTCGCATTTTGATTTCGACAAGCCTAGGTCTTTACAGGTGGATTGTTCCGGCTTCGCGATGGCGGCTATTCTGTCTCAACCGGACAAAGATGGCAATTTGTTGCCGGTATCGTTTTTTTCTCGCAAATTGACTCCGGCAGAGCGGAACTGGCAGGTACATGATCAGGAGCTTGGCATTATTGTCGAGTCTTTTGAGGAATGGCGCGCTTGGTTGACTGGTACGCCGACCCCTGTAACTGTTTTTTCGGATCATGCAAATCTTCGTTACTTTATGACTTCACAGAAGTTGACACCTCGGCAGGCGAGGTGGGCTTCCTATCTTACTTCTTTTCACTTCCAAATCCTTCATACTCCAGGGAAACATAATCCCGCTGATCCTTTATCAAGACGTCCTGATTTCGAAGGCTTTGATAAAGACACGAACAGGATGACATTACTCAAACCTTACATGATAAAAGATGGTGTATCTGTATGTTCTATCGATACATCTTTTATCATTCCGTCTGTGACTACTCGGAATCTTCTGGTCAATTCATATAAAGACTACGAAGGTTTGGATAATGTTTCTCCTCCTCCTTTTTTCACTTTTCGTGGGGGACTGTGGTGGTTTCGTGACCGCTTATTTGTTCCTTTACCTCTTTGACAACATATCTTATCAGCTTTTCATGACTCCACTTCTATGGGACATCCTGGTGTTGCACATATGATCAGTGCAATTACCAGGACGTTTGGTTGGCCTTCTATCATAAAGGATGTTATAAGTTTTGTCAAAAGCTGTGAGTCTTGTCAAAGGTCTAAAAGATCTACACAAGCGCCTCAAGGGCAACTTATTCCGTCGTCTATTCCTGATAGGCCGTGGAGCGTTATTGGAATGGATCTCATTGTTAAACTTCCTGTTTCGTCTGGGTGTGATTCCATTCTAGTGATCACCGATTATTTTTCTAAAGGCGCTCATTTCATCCCTTGCAGGGAGTCTATGAGTGCTCCTCAGTTGGCATCTCTCTTTATTTCTCAGTTTTTTTGTTACCACGGATATCCGGACAAGATAGTTTCGGATCGTGGTGCTACATTTGTATCAGCATTTTGGACTGCTGTACAGAAGCAACTTCGTATCTCTCCTGCGCCGTCAACCGCGTTTCATCCTCAGACAAATGGGCAGACGGAGAGGACGAATCAAACATTAGAATCATATCTCAGACATTTCATTAGTTATAGGCAAGATGATTGGGTTGATATATTACCCATGGCAGAATTTTGTTTCAACAATTCAGTTTCATCATCTACTAAAATGACCCCATTCTTTTCGTGGCAAGGATTTCATCCCAGAGCTAATAGTTTCACAGAGTTTTCGCGAGTTCCTCATGCTGACAAATTTATTGAGCACCTAGAAGCAACACACTTGAATCTGCTGATTTCATTGAAACATGCTAAACAGGCTCAGGCTGCAGCTTACAACAAGCATTGACGAATGAGTCCAGTATACTCTCCAGGTGATCTAGTATGGCTCTCTCGACAGAACATAACTACGACACGACCTTCGTCAAAACTGGATTATCAAAGGATTGGACCTTTTCCAGTGGTGGAAATGGTTGGAGCAAATGCGGTTTGATTAAACCTGGGACGTGCTTATTCCCGTTTACATCCTGTGTTCAATGTATCTCTCATTTCTCCTTTTGTTCATCCATCTGTAGGAGGAAGGCAATTGAAGAATGAAACTGTTCAAATCACTCCAACTTTGACAACTCATGATTGGCGACATGTCTTGGCGATTTTGGACTATAGGAAAAGGGGGAAGGCTCAGCCGGAATATTTGATAAGATGGCTTGGTAGATCAGTTTCAGATGACACTTGGGTGGCGCTTTCGGATATCTCTTCAGACTTAGATCTTTTTATTCTAAATTTTCACACAAAATATCCGCAATTTCCAGTTCCAAATTCTTTATTAGATACTAGGTTTTCAATGGGTTATCAAGCAGCTTTGGGGGAATTATGAGGTAGACGGTGATTATTATTGTAATGATTTGTAATGTTAAGAAAAGAAATAACAAATTGTAACTAAGTTACATAACAAATACTACAAATTTGTGATAGGATAGAAGATAGTAGAATATGGTTGTTAAGAAAAAAAGAAGAAGATAGATGTTACATTGTATATATATAGAATATGTGAATAGTGTTTTGGTTGTCTCTTCATCAAATTATTAACGTAGTTTTCATCACTCTTAAAATCTATACGTGCCTTTAAGTTGAGCTATGCTCAACCAGACCCTAGACGAGAGCCCTTACATGTAGAAGCTGGAGAGGGTTTTTCTGGCTACAGAGCGACAGATAAAAAAAACGGGTATCTGTGATTCTGTGGAACGTTCTGGCAAACTGTCTGAAAATCGACAGATTTGATATTTGTACACCATAATTGTACTTCACCCTATCAGTCCTGAGAGGTAAAACTACTGTTCCTCACAAAGCAATTTATCTTATTACTATTAGTAGAGATAACATTGGATATCACCTCTTGCATCCTCTCCACAAGTCCCAGTCCTAACACAACCCATAGTAGTGACCACAGAATGCATGACACAGCAAAGTTTACTAAGCTCATGTAGAGCTTTCAGTCCTCAAACAAGAAAGCCTGAAAGCACCACATGGGATTCATCTAATTATCATGGCAGCCTCAAATTTATGTAGTGCAGACTTCAGGGAAACATCAAGATCAATCTCTGTATCATCTTTTGAATGGTAGGAGCTTTAAAATAAACATAGAACAGTAGAATCAGATTATGATACCAAGAAAAATCAGCATGTATGAGAAACACAAGTTCAAGAAGTTGTATGGGATGATGGTACAGAAGAAGGGTCACGGAGGTGAACCATGAAATAAGTGACTTAAATCTTCAATAACCACAGAACCATACATAAAACAACATAAAGAAAGTGATCAATATACCTTAAATTTTGATCAATTCATGAGGTATCTTACAAACATGATTATATCCAAGCAAGTATGAATGAATGATATATATCAAACAATGAAGTGATTAGTTTGTATTTATGGGATACAAAGTTAAATCTGGGATTTTTTTCCCAGTTTCCCAGTTTTTGTTTTTGGCTGTGTTGGGAACTTTCCCATGTTCTCCCATGTTACCAAGATTTGTGTTTTTGGCTGTAATTGGAAAGCTGGGATACTGGGAAAAAAACCCATATTGTAACTTTGTTTCCCATCATTGTCATGGCTTTTCCTAGACGTTCTTTTCTTGTTCCTGTTGTTCTTCTTGTTCAACCAGTTTGATCATTCCAAGATTCTCATGATGGTTTTGGTCCTTCTTGGACCCTTTGGTTTCTTTCCACGTCTTTCCTTGGCTCATTAAAGTTAATCTTGAACAAAGATAAACCAATCACCAAAAATTAAACCCTCAGAGCCCAAAATCCCTCCAAAGTTTATATATTGAAAGATTTAGTAATGTTATCAAGTTTATGAGTTCCATATTGCTCTTTGAACTTCTTTAATGACCAATTCAGCTTATTCCTCATGTGGTTCAGAAAGAGAAAGTCTCTCTTTTAGTCCATGATGTAAGGATAAAGTTTATGATTTGATCACTTAGAAAATTTATCACATTTCCAATCAGTTTCAACAGAAATGTAAAGAAAGCACTGCATTTTCCAATCTTAACTTTCCAAGATTTTTTTGCCAGAAGCTCATGAACCATGGCATTTCCCAAAGTTTGATAAGATCAATCATGCAATACAGAAGAAATCAATGATGGTGAAAAATGTGGATAAGATGTTGAGGTGTTGGGTTTATGGAAATCATCAAAAGATAATCTAGATTGATGGAGATCATCCTCATTTGCAACCAAATCCAACAAATCAAATTATTCAACCAATTATATCTCTCCAACCCAAACACAAAAAATATCCAAAAGCTTAAAGAAAACAACAACAGATAAAAGTAAGATGTGATATAAGTTTTCCTAATTCATTATACAAGACAAATAATCTCTTTATAAAAACAAACAACATAATCAAAAACCAACCCAACAAACCAACAAAAAAAATTCAAGAAGATCAGAATTTACAATCAGATATGTATTTTTTTTATACTCTTTTACAATTTTTGCATACAAAGAACCCCAAAGAAGTGAAAAAAATAAATCAAGCAATTTTGCAAAAAAAAGCAAAAGAAAAAAACAATGAACAAAACCAAAAACAAAACATAAGTATTTAATGTATGGTATAATCTTGTCAGAATTTGATAAAAAAAGATGATATAAGTAAGTAAAAATAAAAAAAAAGAAGAATGTATATAATATCAAGAGAGTCATATGTTGTTTTTTTCTTCAACAAAATTGATAAGTAGCAGAAGATTTAAGTAAAGAACTCTTAGAGTTTTCTAATCTCAAGTTTAATTCTTGATAAGGTTCACTTTTTGCATCTAAAAATCCGTGCCCCCGTCCACAAAAAAAGTGAGAACATTAATTCCAACTTCTTGAAAACACAAACCAAAAAGTAAAAAGAAAACAAGGAATGAATTCAATGACTTACGATAATAAAAAGCTTTAATTTTGGCATTTGACCAATCTAAATTGAATTGAGTTTTGGGTAATGGTAATGGTGATGGTAATGGTTCAGTTGAAATTCTTTGATTGGTTTTACGAAATGAAGTCTTGGAATTCGAATTAGAATGTGATGATTTAAATGATAAATTCAAATTCGATTTCTTTACTAAATTTTCATGATCTTGATCAGATAAATCGAGACAAGCATAATAAAAACCTATAAATAGAAAAACCAAAGACCAAAACAAAGTAAGGATTCTGAGCCGAGAAAATCCGTTTGCTTTAATGTAAGATATATGACGAAACTTACCAGCAAAACTCGCACCTTCGATTTCTTTACCTTTAGGATTTCCATCTAAGAATCTCTCTTTCCATCTCATAAATAAGACTTTATCATTCGATTTTAAACATGAAGTTTGATGTTTAATTTGATGATAATAAGCAAACTTGGACCAATGTGATTCATCAGATTCATGATTTGCACCCCATCTTTTAGTCGAAAATTCATGTTGACCTCTACCCACAATCCTACCAAACCCAAACCAAAAACCGAAAATAAAAAAAAACATCAATCTTCAAAACCTTTAATTCTTAATTAATTTTCCCAATCGAAGGAAATACACACATACTCAAGATCGAAAAAAGTTATCAACTTTGGCCATTTCTCAGTTAATCCATCAATCTCAAGTAATCCAGCTCCATTTCCAGTCATCAAATCTAAATCTAAAAACTTAATGGAAACAGGATAAACTTGATCACCCGATCTTTGATGACCGATCCAATTCGAATTCGATTTTAATGGTCCGAATTGATTTTTTAAATATCCTAATGAATTTGGAATTTTAACTACATCAAATAATGGTGATAAATCTGTTTGGAAATCTCTTCTGATAATCAAATTCTTTAAACCTTTAATTTCTTTTGATCTGATTTCTCCTTTTTCTTCTTCTTCTGATCTTATTGAAGTATTACTAAACGAGTCTTTCTTTAATCTCTTCAATGAATTTTCTTTTACATTTTCTTTTGATTCGCTTCTTGGTTCGATTTGATGGTTTATATGGATTTCTTGAAGATTATAATTTGGAGTAGTTAAAAGTGGTAAGAGATGTTCAAATCCTTGTAATTCGATAGGTGTTTTCATTCCACTTGATTCGATTTGATGATCTAAAACCCGATCTGATCTCATCTTTCCAAGTTTCTTGTGATGGTATGGATTGTCTTTCTGACGAATTGGTAGTGTTTTTAGTTCACGATGAGATTGAGATTGAAGTAGGAAGTTTAAACTAAGTAGATATCTCAAACTAGAATACAAACTACTTTAAATCTTATTTTATGAGAATTGTGGAGAAAAGAACAAATCAGAATTGATGGATATCATCGATTGGAATTTACACATCCATCAACACAACCTTCGAGGGTTTTATAAAGCTTTTATGTAAAACTAGGTAAAACTAGTTTGAGTTGATTTGATTTGATTTTTATAACTTCATCGTGATTAGTTTCAAATCGATCTCATTTGGAGTTCATTTCTCACTATCTCTATCTATCGATGACCAAGAATATACCAAAGTAGGATTCATGCGGAGTTTTATCAACATCTTTTTGTAAAAATATCAAATCAAATCAAATCATCCTTAACAACCTTTTCTCGAATTCCATCAATGCTAACTTTCGGGAGTAACCAAAGGTTTGTGCGAGTTTGTAGCGGCTACTGCTACAGCCAATTTGAGAATGATTGACCACTTCTTTTGGAAAAAAGTTGTTGCTGCAGTGGTCAAAACCCGGTAAAGCGAAGAAGAGAAGCGGGGGATCCCCTGATAACGCTTTGACGACCTTCTAAACCTCCTCAAACCAATGAATCATGGACTTATATCAAAGGTCGGTTGTGTAAAATCACAGCAGATCACAATTACCACATTCTCATTTGCTGTTAGGTAGGGAAAACCTCTAACCCAACAAAGTCCCTCTCAGCAAGCAAGCCTGCAAGAGAGGGACTTATCATTTATGGGTTATCTACAAAAGTTAGCATGCGAGCAAGAAACTTTTGGTTGGAGAGTTTTTCAACCCACCATAACTTTTTACCACACAAATAAACAGTCTTTGGGCCAAAGCACTGTAAACATCATTCAACTTCCCCAAATTGTAAGAGGAAAATGATTAATAGTACAGTTTGTCATAAAAGAATCTAATACTGCACACCTGAGCCATTTCACCCACACTACATATGTGCAGCAAGCTAAGTCAATAGCTGGCTATCATGTACATACAGGTCTGCTCAGTTTTTTGTCCACCAGCAGAAATAAATCACATGTTATACCACATGTAACTTTTTTGACTTTGAAAAAATTGTGCCCAAAATTCACTACATATAATTCTGTAGGTGCTCAGGCAATATTGTTGAAGCTATTTCTTAGTAACAGAAAGGGTGTTACATGCAGTTGAGTTGATGAGATTACACCAAAACATTGAGTCAGTGTATGTAGTCAATCTTTGGAATGCTTTTTATGATCTCAAAAAAGTTACAGCATGTGATACATATGAATAACTTATCCTGATGAGCAGATAACTGAGCAGAACTGTATGTACATGATAACCACATATTAACTGAGCCTGCTACACATATGTAGTGTGGGTGTTATGGCTCAGGTGTGGAGTGATAGATCATTTTATGACAAATCATACTCCCAGTCACTTTTTCCTGCCCACTTGGGGAAGTTGAATAATGTTTGCAGTGAAGAGAGGTCCTATGCGCCCACTCAACCTACACATACTGGTTCTTTGAAATTCCTCTCTTGGTTTCAGGAAAGCACTGCAGGAAGACTTGAAAAATGGATTCCATTAACTTTATGTCTTGCAATCTACTTATCTATTTCAATTTTTATTATTACTATTGATACTCTCACTTCTTTCTATTCATATTACAAAAAGACCAACTCAATCATGAAGCTGCTTTATCAAAGTAACTTGGATACAAGTATATTAAGTACTGCACATGTGTTGGGGGGGCCATTGGACCGTGGGTCTCCTGGCCGGGTTGGATCTCTGTGTGGTAGGGTGTCAGGTGTAAATTGATGAGAACACCTGATAATAAAGTGCTACAAATCAACAGTCTTCTCCAAACTCAAAAAGGTATGCAAACCCTGAGCTGAACTGATGATAAAGTGCTACAAATAAGCACTATTCTCCAAACTTGAAAAGGTACACATACCCTGAGCTAACCTGAACACAACAACAATTGTAAAGAAAAGAAAATTAGGATGATAGAGGAATAAAGCTAATTCAAGTATAGATATGCACCTAAGTTAAACAGAGGGAAAGTTTTAAAATACAAGACCAAGTTTTGAGCTTATAAGGCTCTGAGTGATTGATCTGAAGGAATTGAGGATATATGATGATCATCGGTGAGATTTATTTATAGTGGATTTTAGGAGAAAGACTTACTCTCTAATAAAAAGATAAGGAAAGAGAGCAAAATGACAGAAACAAGCAGTATATAATGTATGATTGAATCAGAAACAACAATATGTTGAGGATGATGCACATTGTTGGGATTGATGTGCAACAATGTGTCAACTCTCACAGCAATTGTAAACATAACATGAAACAAAACATAAAATAAAATAAAACAAAACTGAAACCCAATACTTGACACAACACAACACTTCTAAGTATCTTGTCTTGATTGTATATCAACATCAGGGTAGGCAGAAGGTCAAAATAACAAAGGATAAAAAGTAGATTGTTCCATGTTATTCCTTTTATTTTTATGAAGGAAGAAGGTGAGTGAATCAGAGAACAGGAAAGTGTTTTTGTATGATGAAAAACTACCCTGTTTCTTCCCTCTCTATTTGAATTGGAATGTATCATGTGAACACAAACTTGCTTTGCAAGCAAAATGGAGTACACAAAAATTTGACTTTGTTGATGGCTGGCTACCAATACCACAAGACTAAACTAGAGCTTGTCCACAATACCCCATAGACTGTTACTTCACACATGCCTTGCTTCAATTGCCAGGTTGCCAATTTTACCAGAATAGGTCATTGTAAATATCTTATATTCATCTATAACAACTATCTGCTCCAGAGAATTACCTATCTCTTTACACCTATATTCTAGCTGTTGTCATATTTTGATTTAGGAATAGACTTGTTTTTTACTGAGCAAAATTTTGCTTGAAGCAAGGGGTCTGGATAGAGCCTGTGACATGGATTGGACATACCAGGACCCCGGAAAGCTCCAGGGAAATTATTTGACCTAAAACCACCCCAATTGACCTTTTCAATACCCTGTGACGCGGTAAAAACCCAAAAATCGAGCTTAAACAATCCCGGTTATGTTGGTAGGTTTAAAGAGCAAAAATCGCTAAAAATCTCCCAGGAGACCAATCCATTTGTTTTTGGTTGGTACGTACATCCAAAAGACAGTGTTTTTGGGCTTTTTTTGGCTCAGGAGAAATCCATACTTGTCACGTTGGTAGGTCTCAATTCCAAAAATCTGATTTTGGCTCGAAAAACCCCAAAAAATACCTTTTTTGTCAGTACGTTGGCCTTTTTTTTGACCCTCAATCCATTCATTTTATGTCGGATAGTTCACCTGGAGCTTTCCGGGGTCCTGACATACCCTTGCTTATTTCTTCTGACCTGAATATATATTTTGATCTGGTATGTTGATGTGATGTGTCAATATGCTTACAATACATCTATAAAGGGTGCTGTATTATCAGATTCTCAGAAAACATCTCCTGATTCTTTGGTGCTCCCTCAAGACCTACCAAAAAAGCTTTCTACATGGTTTGCATTTTCAGTATTCTCAAAATTAGCTGAGAAACAAAAACCAGTGAAAAACAAAGCCAAGTTTTTCACCATGATGCACTTTCCAAAAAAAATAGTCATTCTCAAATTGGCTGTACATACCCACTACAAATTGCTACTGTAGCCAAAAAACCCCGCAGTTTTCCCCTTTTGAAAGCAGTTCACAGATTTCACACAACCCTGACCAAAACAGATATCCCCAACCATCTTTGTTGTTAACAAAGCACATATGGATCATTGCATTCATTCTTTCCAATGCCCTGATGAACATACCAATCCTTCCACACACGGTCAGATTCCAACTTGATGAGCCGCTTGGATGAACAGGCAAAATCTCTCCATCCCCATCAATCCACCCCCTTTGCATTCCATACATGAGATATAAAACCAGTGTGTCACTGTGGGACAAACAACACTTCATTAGGAACCACCTGTTTCTTTTTTCAAAATCAACATGTTACGGCCAATTGAACAGCTCAATCCATAACAAAAAATATGTGACACCACATGCAAACCATTCAGGCAAAGGTATTCTACTGAAATCAAAAGCTTTGACATATCTTCATTTAGTGTTTCACGCATAACAGTACTTATGTTTTGCATCAACTTCTTATAGGGTCTTATTGAACCTGAACCCTCTGCTGGATATGTAGACCAGGATGTTTGTCTTTTGCAAAACACTTTTGCAAAAAAAATTATATATAGATTATTGATGTTTGTAATCACTAATATTCACACATGTTTGGTGGTTTGTGGCGGCTAAGCAGAGCAACACAATCATAGAGGTGGACAAGTTCTTGTTTTAAGTCTTCCGGCTGTAACATGAAAAGTGAATTTGTTATTTTCAGTTTGAACAGATGGAACAGTGGTGATCAGCCAGAGGAAAAGCTCAGGAAGGCCCAATAATAATCTGTTTGTGGATGATTGCTTAAGGTTCTGTGTCTTGGAATGTCAGAAAAGAAAATGTGCACTGCGGGACTTGAACCCACAACCTGATCCCTATATCTAGGAGGGTGCTCTAACTGCACTGAGCTAAGTGCGCATGTCCGATTGAATGTGTTGTGAAGAAACATGCCTAACACTGAGATGGCAACCCGGAATGGCAAGTGGCACTGACAATCTTAGCCGTAGGAAGTGTACATATAGGACAGAACATGTCACATATCCAACACTGCGCACACTGTACACTTAGGTCTCAAAGTTTACACTTCCAAAGCCCATGTGTCAAAAAGGGGTACATAACATATAGTAGCTGCTACTGGGTAGCAGATACTATTGTGGTGTACTACCTTTGCTAAAAAGGTTGACCGCGTCAACCGCACAAGAGAAGACAAGAGGGGTCAAATTTCGCCGCAGCCTGCTGCAAAGCCGCTGCGCAGCTCACAGAATCAAATTCGCCTGATCACAAATCTTCATGTGATCGACTTGACTTGCCACTTTCTGGCTTTGAAATATCTTGCGATTGCTCATAAAGCACAGATATATAGCTCGGTATGTTGAAATCAAGCACACAGTCCGTTTGTGCAACTTCACCCAAGCTGTGAGCGCTACACTGACTTGTTTGACTCAAAGCAGGATAAGAACATTTGATTGAACGGTATGACAAGGCTGGATTGTGACTACAGAGTTCTTGCCTACATCAGTTCAAGCCTGGTTGGGTTTCTCTTTTTTGCTTTCATTTTGAAATGAAATCAAGGTTTTGATCTTGGATATGTGTCAGTGCAATCATCTATGACAATGTCATTTGAGCTCTTGACTGAGCGAGAAAAATGAAATATTTTTTTCAAAAAAAGACTTGGTTTTTTTTTCTGTGATGAGACCAAAATGTAAAAGCACAAAAGTACACACGGACTCGAACCCACCATCAATGATTCAATGCACTGAGATATGTGCCGTGTCAAACTACTACACTACGAAAACGATGAGGAACGATGGGAATATGCATTATCGATATTGCTGAACAAGAGCTGGGCTTGGCTGTACGGTCAATCTGGTCATACCAAGCTCTACATTTGTTGTCGAGATAGTTTGCATGAGTTTCAAGATATAGCAAAGCCAGAAAGCGGCAGGTCCGACTCCAGTCGATGGTATGAAGATTTGTGATCGGGCGCACTTTGCTCTCTGTGAGCTGCGCAGCGGCTTCGCAGCAGGCTGCGGCGAAATTTGGCCTCTCTTGTCTTCTCTTGTGCGGTTGACCCGGTCAACCTTTTTAGCAAAGGTAGTAAGCCTTTGAGTAATCTGTAAATTTCTGATTTCTTCTTAAACAAACCAATTCTAATGCCAATTCCCTTAATCAGTATCTAGCCTCAGTGATGTGGTTGGTGTTTCCCTACGGTTTCTGTGCACCTAATCTATTGGAAAGCATGGTTGAAGGAGGAAATGAAGTGGATGACTGGGCTCGTTTGGCCTTAGAGGCTATCAACTAGGCTATGGACTTCAATTTGAAAAATCAACTCCTTCAGCAGAGCTCAGTCAAGAAGGACTTTCAAGTTTGGAAAGGGGTAACTCAAGATGTCATTTGGTCAGACTTGAAAGAGACATGAACAACAAGATCATGGATGAAAAATTCAAGTGTTCTGTAGCCAGGAGTCTTCATAAGACCATAAAATTTAGATTTAAAACAATCTAAAAGAATAAATATAATAAACATGAAAAAGAATAGACCTTCTCAATACTGCCAATATGTCAAGAATAAGTGATGCTGTATACTTTCCTGAAAGTGTATGACACAGCATTTGTTTTATCACAAAAATAACCTTTTGATATTAATCAAATGAAGAGAGTAGCCATGCTCAAAGTTGACCCGGTTACAAAAATTCTGATTGGCTCAGTTGACTTTTTGGCTGTGAGCTGTCAAAAAATGTCAACTTGATACACAAAGTTACTGCCAAAAAGCAACTGGGTCAACTAGGTTTTCTTCAAACCAGGTCAACATTGAGCGCGGCTATTCTCATCTTCATTTGAACCAAAAACCTACTGACTTCAGGTGTGTACAGTCATCTCTCTAAAAACCCATACCAATCCATAAACACTATGGGGTTTGATGGACTACGTCTTACTAAGATCTCTCTAATAACCCATAAAACCTATTCTAGGCGGCAAAATATGGGTTAGGAAAGATCCCTTTTGAAAAACAATGATTTCCATTTCAAAGAAAAGTATTACAAAAAGTTTGCAATATTCAGGGCTTGGATGAGAAATAGTGTTTGAAACTTGATTAAGTCATTGGATTTGAGCATGCTGAACTGAACTTTTGCAAGACTTGGCAAATAGCTTTTCTGCAAGCCCTGGCTTCCCCTTGCATTCTTCATGCCTGACATCTTCAGCTCATCTTTGCTGAGGGTCTTAGCAGCATCATAGAGATGGCTGATATTTTTTATTTTCTTGAGGATAAAGGCCTTATCAATCATATTCCCAGGCTTAATGACAAAATCTTCATCTGCCATTGAAAACACCTTCCCTTGGCTGACCACAAGATCACACAGTGGCCCCATACGTCAATCATTTGTAGATCTTAGCCAATCATAACCTTTTTGAGTATTTTCTGTTAATGTTCAATCGACGTAAGGAGTGAATTTAATAAAGGACATAAATAAAACTAATCATTAAGAGTTAAGAAATCACTTAAACTTAAGGATAGACAAGAATGATGTCATACATTTCATTTAACCCCAATCAATCATATTCTTTTTCCTTATAATCCTCGAGCTCTCTGTTGTAGTTCTCTTTTCCCATCTTTGGAAAAGAGAACGTACGTATTTTATAAACTTGTTTTTCACTCAATTGAATTTTATCTGATATGAATTTGTTAGTCTTATCTTTGACTTAGATCACAGCTCACATTATCTACGTGTGCTTCATTTTATTATCATCTAACCTTTAACAGGTACTTTAACCTTTATCAATCTTTTCATTTCCATAAACTAGTGATTGATGTTTTCTTTGTATCATGTTGTTGTGTTATAGGTTAGTCAATATTCCTAAGAGCAGGATATAGTCACCTACTTATTGTTTATAGCGCTTCTATCAGGTAATTAAACGATCTTTGGAAAAGAGAACTCTTATCTTTCACTTAGATCACAGCTCACATCATCTACGTGTGCTTCATTTTATTATCATCTAACCTTTAACAGGTTAGTCAATATTCCTAAGAGCAGGATATAGTCACCTACTTATTGTTTATAGCGCTTCTATCAGGTTAGTCAATATTCCTAAGAGCAGGATATAGTCACCTACTTATTGTTTATAGCGCTTCTATCAGTTGTGTTATAGGTGTCAATCTATAGGATCTCATTCCGATTCACTCATACATTTTCATTTTCCAAATTGCTTTGTTAGGTCTTTAGGAAGCATCTTTGACTATGTGGTGGAGTTTGAGTGTTGAGTTTTGTGTTTATGTGTGGTCTATTGGTGATAAAAGTAAGTTGTGGAGTACAGAAAGGAATTTCACCCAGTTTTTTCACCAGTCTGAACCTAATCACACTAAAAGTATGGGTTACAGATAATGGTAGAGATATGGGATTTCTAACAATTTGCTCCACCCATGAATACATCAAACCCACACGGTCACATAATTTGGGTGAAAGACTTTTGCTATGCATTTTTATGGGTCATACAATTCCTTTGTCAAATTTGGCAGTCAGAAGCATCAAGATTCAGAATTTTTTCTATGCATTATCACAGGTTATGCAGCTGTGCGGGTACACAATTGTACGGGTTTGACTGTAATATGGATGGCAAAAATTATGGGTTATGTAAGAGTATGGCATATTGGGTGTATGGGTTTTCAAAAAGACAACTGTAAGTGTCATTCAATACCAAAGACCTATAAATCCATGCTACTTGATGACTATACAAATTATCTCAGATACAATTGATCCAAATACCAAATAAGAGAGAGTCTTCAAAAGATATCTGCCAATCAAACTCACTATATATATGCTAAACACAATGGAGAATTTTTTTAACCAAAGTAATGAGAATAAATGGTTCCTAGAATAAGTCAGGAGACATATGGATCAGTAGTATACCATTCAAATGAAACATCCAGATTCAATGAGACATGAGATGTACCCAAGTATATCAGAAGAGAGTGGCACATTGTGGTGTGTACAAATAAATGATTGGTTGGTGTATACCTGTAAGCCTACTAGCATTTATTAGGCTAGTAGGGTCAATAAAAAGTGTGTAGAAGGTCCACTAACTTCTACTAAAGTTGCGTAGATCAATATCCACAAGTATGAGCAGGTATGGATTTGGGCATAAGTGCTTTACTTGGAATAATTAAGTAAAGACTCCAGACAGATGACCTTTAAATAAAGGGTTTTGCCCAAGTATTTTATAATTAAAAATAAGAGCAACTGACAAGCAGTTCTCAAATGTAAATCAATTCACTTCTTGCACCAAGAAAGGTCATTAAAGGTTTCACACTGGGAACACAAGATCTTTAACATGAAGGAATTAGTAGATCCTCTGACACAAAGCCTTACAAAGGTATGAGGAGCTCAATCAATTTTTAAGAAATCCAAGAATTTCATCCTAAACAACCTGAATCAAATCCTTCAAGTCCCTATAAATGTTGACAAGAATAATCTGAAATCTTATTTCTTATTTGAGGAATGTTTAAAACTCATCAACATAAGATTTCTAATCAAACAATTCTGTAGATTTCTTTCGAATAACAAATCTCATTCTTTCAAATCACAAATATCCACCATGTATATAAGAAAAACCCAATCAATCAATCAATCAATCAAAAAACGTTCATTTTCAATATAATAAATAAGCAGTCTAAAACTCTGTAAAAAAACCTATAATTGTCAATGTATAAAGTCTCAAAAGAAAAAATCCAATCAAAAAACCAAAACCCCTACTGAGAATCCAAAGAAACAATGAAAATCATCATCATCATCAAATCAAACCACTAGGAATCTTAGCTTCTTTAGGTCTACCAAACCCCCAACATAAATCCCATTGTATTTCCAAATAACCCATCAGCATAGAAGAAAGCAAAAAGAAAAACTCATTAGTCAATTAGAAATCAAACTTTTTTCTAAAAAAAATACCAAAAAAAAGCGAAATTGATGAAAGGTTTTAAAAGTTGACGAATTCAAGTACATTGTTTTTTAAAAAAGTTGCATGTAGAAATATTCATTTTTCTACTACTTCAAATAAACCTTTTTCATAATGATATATGAAACCAAAAAAAACAAATTGAAAAAAAAACGAATAACAAAGTTATCTTACGGTCTAGTACTAGGAGAAGGTGCCACATCTTCTACCTTAACAGATGAACCAAGTTTAACCGGTTTAGGTCTAAAATTTGCGAGCAAAAAATGAATCATCATCTCACAAATTCAATTCAATCTTCTCTGTAAAGCAAAAAAGAATGATATTTGATTTACCTAGTCGTATCAACCGCTTCAATCGGTACTGAGTATCTTTCTTCATCACATCCATAAGCCTTTGGTGTTAATTTGATCACAGTATGTCTAATATACCTCATCAAATTCATGAGTTGTAGGTTGCACAAAATAAAACGTTAAGCTACTCACAATGGGATCTTGATGTAAGGTAACTGAAATGAGAATTCAATATATCAGCTACATAACGAAAAAGACCAAGATTGATAAACATACTTCTTCTTGATTCAAGTTGTGACTTTTTCAAAGCAAATCCCATGGAAAAAACAGCAAAACCCAAGTAAATGAACTCCATCTGATAAAACCACCAAATCAGATCACCAAGACTTACAAATACGCATAAAGACATCTCAAAACCGCCTAGAAAATTAATCAGTCATAAGTAAAACTAATACATAAAACATAGAAATCTTCAATCAGATCAAAAAGTTGATCTTTACCTGATGACAAACAATCAAGATATTCTCTTGACGTTCTAATTCCATGATGACCGGTTCCAATCTAACCACCACATCTCTATAACTTTCACCACCACGATAACGATAATTAAATTTATCATCATCACGTTCAGCATAATCTTCAGGATAGTGTTCCTACCGTGCGGCCATCATATATCAACAATAAGACAAAAATCTCTCTCTGATAAGTTGGGTTTCTTATGGAATACACTAACTTCAATTTCTTCATAGGTCATTCCATCACAAACACCAGCGTCTAATTCATCTAAGCTTTTCCATGTTAGTTTTGGATAAGGAAGATGTTTAGCAGTTTGAATAGTCCGTTTCAAAGTCGAAGTCCAAACCTAGAAAAACAGCAAAGACAGTTAATATTACCAAAAGAAACGTCTTAGTAGAACAGATAAACGTACCGTTAATGGAGTATCACCAATTGATCCAGCAATCAAATTAGGAAGCGCTTCTGAATATTGAGCACCTCTTTCTGATAAATAAGAATCGCCTCCAATCTTACCCTCCACATTATATTGTGATTCTCCATGCTGTTAAAAACAATCAAGTCAGAATAATTAATCAACGATGATGATAGAAAAAAAAGAAAAGTGTAACTAACGCGGGTGAAGAAGATTGAACGAGGTGTGACGTCTGGAATGTCATGGTAAGATCGGTGAGCTTCTAGGCATGATCAACATGGTAAAAGTGACTTACGTAGGTTCATCAAATAAAATGCAACACGAGAGGCAAGATACCTAAGAGCCAAGTAAAGCAAAACTAAATCAGACACAAACCTCCACAAATTTATCAGTTTATGAAACTCTAAAGAAACCAACCCATCAATCTTATTAACAGTCACCTCATACCCTACATTAACCACCTTACAGAAACTTAAATGACCTTCTGAAACCGGATCAATCGGTTCATAATTATCTTCATAATGTTTAATTCGTTTAATAAAATCTTCTTCTGCTTTTTCTTTTGGCATTCCATCATAATCTGGATCTCCACTTGCCACCTTAACTGCTATATTTCCTGCAATCACATTGGGATCTGTACAAATCGATTCTAAGAAAATCAAACTGATATTTCTTTCTTTTTTTAATCTGGTGACGATTTTATCTCGACGTGCTTTAGTACTATTAGTTGCGTCTAGTTACAGTTACATTTCAGAATTAGTTCAGTTTACCATGAAAGAGAGTTCTAAGAAGGATAACTCACCATGGATTCCAACATTTCCTCCATCTTTTAACCAAGTGATCAAGCTTTCTAAACATTCACTAGCCATCTGTTCCCTAACTTCACTGGCATTTTGATTCGATGGATCTGAATCAAAAACATTTTAAACCATCCCACATCAGAATTTGAACTCCGATTTGATGATCACCAAACAAAAGTCCTCGTGGAAGATCAATCGAAAGTAGTATTCTTACCAAAGAAATTAGCTGATTGATCTTCTTTTTGTCCTAGCTTTTGAGCTCGTTCTCTATACCTTTCTCTTCGATATTGTCCAACATTAAAAACCTTGACACTAAACTCAAGCCACTATAACCAAGATGAATCAATGAGATCACAAAGATTAATAGATGATCAACAAATAAATCTAGGTGACCGATCAAGCTGACTTTAAGATATCTTTGTAGTTTATTACTCAAGTAAGATTTTCCACGAGCCGGTAATCCAACCTATGACCAAAACCAAAACCACATCTTAGTCAATACAAAAGATCCAGATGATGATCAAAGAAATCAATAAACTGATAAACCAACCATAGCCACCACAATCTTAGCCTCACTATAATCAGGTTTCTGTACTGCACTACCAGTACTACCTTTACCTTCTAAACCATGAAAAGAAAAAGAAGGATGTCTACTTTTACGTTTTTGATGATGATGAGGAGGAGGATGTCCAATCGGATTCGAAGTAGGTACAACAGAAGGTAAAACTTGAGGACTTAAGATCGGACTTGTATTAGTAGAAGATTGACCAGCTGCATCTGAATATTGAGAATGTAAAGAAGATTGACGTGAAAGTGAACAGAGTGAAGGTGAAACAGCACGAAAAGATGGTGAAGTAGAATGTAATCTAGGTGAAGGTTGTGGTAAGAGTGTAGGAGAGTTTCTTATTGAGTTTGAAACTGATCTTTTAGTGGGAGTTTCCTTGGGAGTTGGAATTGGTGATAGATCATTACGCATAGGTGAATCTGATAATTGATGAGTTTCGATTGGTTTTGATTCTTGATTGACTGAGTGTTCTTCTTCATGAGTAGTTAAACCGAATCGACTGGACATCTTGAACAAGTTGAGAATACTAAAGTAAGTCAAGAAGAACTGAGAAATGGGAAATGGGAAATGGGCAAAATCAAAAGTTAATCTCAATTCAATTCAATTTGACTGTTTACCATTCGATCAATCTCCAGATAGGTAACCGAATGATGATGTAATCATATACAACACTGTGTAAATCTTGATCAGCACAAAGCTCACAACTCACTTCACACTTCATACATCAAAACCTAACTAACCCAATTCAGTTTCAATCCATTTTCATAAATTCTCAATTTTACAAGATATTCTTACTATCTATATCACATCACCATCACCATCACGTCACATCACATCCAAAAAATCATATACACTTCAATCAATCAATCAAAAAAAAACATTTTCTCTTTCAAACAAATTCAAACAATCAAAAATCAAAACAAAAAAAGCAATATTAAATAAAATCATCTAAAGTCCAACAACTTTAAAAACCAATCACCCCCTTGATCTTTCTTTTCATCTTTGCTCCTTTCAAACCGGACAAAACATACATCTCATTTATCATGACCAGACTGATTCCTTAAAGTTCCTTGAATAGCTGGATCAATAGCTCCACAATGAATTCCCGCAGTATTAGTAGTAGAAGAAGAATCAGCACTCAATTCACCCATCACTCTACTCTCATCATTTTGATGATTTTGTAAAGAAGTCATGGATGGTCCAATCGGATTAGCAGTAGTAGTAGTAGTTGTAGTAAGATCATCAGAGTGACTTGTAGAAGTTTGAAGATTTTTAAATGAATTAGTCGGTTCAGAAGTCACAATTGATGGTTGATTTGGTTCAAGATTAGATTCCATTTTCGAATTTAATTGTGGATCCATCTCGATTGAAGATCTAGTAGGACTCTTCACACTAGATACTTTTGTTTGATCTAATCTGGAATTTGTGATCGAGCTAGATGATTCGGTTCTATCATGTTGAACATTATGATTTGAGTGACTATTACTACTACTACTACCGGAAATAGCATTTGGTTTAATTGTTTCTGAATCTTGTTGAATTGTTTTAGGTGTAATAAGATTGGTTGGAATTGAATCTGTTTGAGTTTTACGTTGTTGTTCAATTACTAATTCCATTTCTTCCATCACACTTAAAGGTTTCGAAGACAACTTGGGTTGTGGTTGAACTTCATTTGAAATCACTTGAGGTGTGACGATGATCGATTCAGGTACCACTTTCATTGTTTCATTCATAGGAGCTGGACTATGAACAGCAACTAAACTTGGATTGATAGAATCTTTCCAATCTGATGCTAGTTGATCAGATGTGATCGGCTGAGAGGCGGTTGGGTTTGAAGGGACTGGTTTTGAGGAAGATTGAATGACTGAAGGTGTTGGTGTGGTCGGTAAATTCGCTGTTAGTGAGGAGACCGTACCTGCCATGATGGGAGCAGGTCGAGGATTCACGACCTGATCAGAAGCAGCAGGTTGCTGGATGGAAGCCATGGGTTGTGGGCTAACCACATTTGGAGGCTGATTGACAACAATAGGTGCTGGAGTAAGAGTAGAGGTGATCGCATTTGGAGCGGGTAAAGAAGTAGGAAAAGCTTTCGCCTCTTGAGAATTTATAGTTGGTGGTGGAGGGATTACTTCCGCCGCTATTGATGGTTGGATCACCTTTGCTGTTATTGATGGTTCGATAGTTGTTGGAAGGATCTGACGTTCGGGCAGCACTTGCAAGTTGGGATTGGTGATTGTCTGTTCAATCAAAGGCTGCGGACCTGCTCTGGCATTACTATTATTAACGACGGGAGATGACTTCGGTGGCTCTGATACCTGATTAGATGATCCAGTGGACTCCACAGCTATCGGAGCAGAAACCCGTGTCTCACTTTGTTGGCTTGGTTTGTCAGTTTCAGCTGATGTGACTTGAGGTTTAGGAGATACGATGGCACAGACGGTGTCTACGGTCTGTTGAAGTTTCGGTAGTTCTTCATTAGGATGACGCACTTCGGAAATCTTCATGCTAGCAGTTTTTACTACATCGACTGGAGCTTGATTGACAATTGGACGAGTAGCTTGGACGGGTAGCTGAGCTTGAACAGACGGCTGAGCTTGAACGGATGGATCGGCTTGAACAGGTGGGTGAGCAGCTTGTACGGGTGGGCGAGTAGCTTGTACGGGTAGCTGAGGTTGTATTGGTGGATGAGCAGCTTGAACGGGTGGAAGTGTAGCTTGAACTGGAGGATGAGTAGCTTGAGCTGGAGGATGAGTAGCTTGAGCTGGTGGCAGAGTAGCTTGAGCTGGTGGCGGAGCTTGAACTAGTGGCTGAGCTTGAACTGGTGATAGTGTAGCTTGAATGGGAGGGTGAGGGGCTTGAACTGGCGGATGAGTAGCTTGAACAGGTGGCAGAGTAGCTTGAACAGGCGGAAGGTTAGTATCAAATGACATATCAGACCCAGCGAAATCCAAGATTTGTTGTAATTCATTCACATCCGAATCCGACATGATCACATTGGAAAATGTTTGACTGGTTGGTTCAGGAGTTTTTTCAGATGGGACGATAATAGAAGGAGTTAATGATTTGATTTGAGATGTAGAAGTAGACGGTTCCCCCTCTGTCATTTCGATTTCAGGAGCTACTGAGACAGAGATCTTGGAAGGTCTTGAGTTGGGTTGTTGATTTGATTCGGGCTTTGAAGGATTTGAAGGTGTGACGAGTTCTTGTGCGATTGTGAGTTGAGAACGCGGTTCGACTTCATCGATTTCCATTTTGTTATCTGCCTTCTCTACTGAAGATGTTGTAGGAGGATCATTTACTGAAATCTGTTGATTTGTTATACTTCCACCGGTCGCACTCTCCGTTTCTTGCGGTTGATGTAAACCATTAGACTGAGAAGTATGCCGGTTAACATCTTCAACTAAAGCCGTAGCCATCCTATCAAGTTCCATCAAATCTGCCTCTCTCTCCGCCTGAAGAACTACTTCGTCCCGTCTGGGTGTAGGGGGTTCCGACCTTTCTGACAAAGGTGAAGAGCCAGATTCATCAGTGCTAGTAACCGGTCTCCTTGTGCCGTTTGCATCGCGACCCCATTCGACATTAGGGCCCCCGTGAAACAGTGGAACTTCGTTTTCACATATACCCCCTTTCCTCCAGGCTCGGCTCAATTTTCTTGGTCGTTTATTTGATTGTACATCCCTTCTTCCACCTTCACCTTCATCCTCACTATCAGAATATTCATCATCACGTTGTACCAAGGCATCCAATAAGCGCTCTATGGATGTGAAATTCAGTGTCAGTGAACAAAATACGTTGTGTAGTAATATCAGCAGTTGATTCAAAGTGATCGAAATCAAAACAATCACTCACGTGGTCTCCTTTCATTTGGATCATCTAAATCTTCATCCACTTCCATATCATCATGAGGTAATCGAGGTATTGCTAATCCCCAAAAAGCAAAGATCATTAATTTCAAGTCAAGTCAAGCAATGACAGAAACTGATCATAAAAAGAAAACTAACGTTGCATCTCAACTGATGGTACAGGTATAGTATGTCTTAGATTCTCAAAAATTTGAACCTTGACTTTTTCAAGATATCTATCAACATTCATATCTTCCATATTTGAGGCAGGTACATCTAAATGATAAGTCGGACCAAAATATTCATAATATTCATTCATGGGAATTTCTGAAATACAACAAATAGAAAGTCAGTGTTTGAAAGGCATCATTTTCTTTGCTAAATTCGGGATAAGCTGCGAAGAGCCGTTAGTAGAATGAGCTTACCTCGACACAATTCTTGACCAGCAGCCAATCCAGTCTCAAAGGCCCAAGTCCTTGACACATTCCGTATAGTATAACCACCACCACCAAGTAAAAGTAATGGCAGCCCCAAAGATTTAATAAACTGAACACAATTTGCATGTCCTAGGTTATAGAATGATCTTCTTAGCATTATGCAACACTTTCTTTCGAAGAAACTTGAGGGTTTTTTTACCTTTGAGAGAAACGTTAAAACTTCCTAACCGATCACCTGCTAACGAGTCACCTCCACATTGTAAGACGATAGCTGAAGGTTGATAAGTTTCCATAATCTTCATGATGACCTATATAAATCCAACAAACAACACAAAATATATATCTGTCAGAAGTACACCAACATCAATGAAAGAAATCCGAAGTTTTGAACTTACAGGTTCGAAGATATTTTTATAAGCTTCATCAGTAATTCCATCTCTTAGAGGAAAATTAACAGCATAACGCTTTCCTTTACCACTACCAATATCCTAAGAGCGAAAAAAAGACCCCACAAATAAGTTTCAAGAGCATAAAAATCAATTCGAATTGTAAAACATGAAATCCATCTACATTGTAGAAAATGTGTTTGACTCACTCTCAATTCTCCTGTACCAGGAAAAAATTCTCCATACTTATGAAAACTACAGGTCATCACTCGATCTGTGGTATAGAAAGCTTCTTCAACACCATCTCCATGATGAACATCAATGTCTACGTATAAGACTCGTTTGTGATATCTGAATAGAAATCAAATTATATAAGCAAGGGTTAAATAGGTATAGTAAGTAAAGAAAAATATACCTCAGTAGCTCGAGGATACCCAAAACGATGTCTATAATAAATCAACAAGCATAGATCGAAATGCATGTGGTGATCCATCAGTAAAGCTCCATCAAATCCGAAAGAATGAAAAGGATACAAACCATTAACATAACAAAACCCATTAGCTTCAGCTTTTTTGGCATGATGAAGTCCACCAGCCCAATTGACAGCAATATCACATTTATCACGTGATAGTCGTGCAGCACCTTCTATACTCCATGAGAATTCGCAAAAGAATCAGATTTGTGTGTTTTGGGGGATTAAGTTGAATTTTGCTTACCCATTGAACCGCCTGCTGAAATTGAACAGTATTCGAATAAACCATCAAAGACCGGACAATCATCACCCAAGTTAACTGATGATTGAATCACCACCGAAAGTTTCAAGTGTTCATAAATCAAATCCAGTGAGATATTCCCCGGACGACAAAAGAAAGAAATCAAGATCGGTTGTAAAAAAATCGAATTAATTTACAAGGTTTGATATATCATGAAAAGAAATATATATATTAGAAATAAAATCGACTAACATTTAGCTTGTTCTTTTAAAAATCCTTCCATATTATCAGGTGTAACTCTACTAAGGAATTCCACATAATCATCTGTATGAAACTGAGCCATTTCTTTCCTTGTAGCAGGTTTAGCACGCTGAAGAGAAAATTAAATTGGAGAAAAAGTTTAATATTATAATTCTCAGCATTATGGGTCAACAAAATTCGGATTTGAATTGGTTTTGGAAATCATCAGGGGTTCTAAGACTTACAAAGATTTCCATTTTTTTATAAAGTCCATAATTCATTACCAAAGCATGTGTCATTCTGATTCGATGTGGTTTCATTGGATGACCAGGTCCATAATGATAATTACCAATATCCGAATCGAAAAAGTAACACTTGAGTTCCCCCAAAAGAAAAAACACCAAAGATCGGATTAGTGAAAGAAGATAAATTTTTGAATGGCTTCCACGCGTTCTTACTTACTATACGTCGTTTACGATCACCTGCTATTGGGGTCATTAGACCTGACATATTTGAGAAATGGTTTGATGAATGTTGACTTCAATGAGTTTTCGAGAAGAGAGGAGTGATATATAAATTTTCTCAAGGTACAAACAAACAAGCCGTGTAGGAGGTTTTGTAAATTCAAACGGAAGATGAGGGTGATAATTAATTTTAGGATGATGGATAGGCTGGATTGGCGAATCAAAGTTTATTCGGGGTTTTAATCAATTGTTATCAAACTTGTAGTGGTGATGGATGATGTTGTTTAATAAATATGGATTCATGATTCTGGTCTGAACAGATTCCATGGCGAGATGGAAGACAGTCAACATTTCATAACAAGCACTCAGCAGTATGTCTATAACCGGGAAATCCTACCTGTAGCTGTATCATAGGCTGTGATAGGTCAGCCAAAGTCTCTTTCACGCTGAAATCACAGCTCTATCACTCTACTGTAGCGAGGGATGCCCATGACAGGTCTTTTGGTGGTATGTGTGACATCTTGTATGTAGCACTCTGTAAATCTGTGTCGAATTTTTCATGCTGCAGTTTGAGAATTGTTTGAATTCAAGAACTCAACCAATCCGACATCGACCCTTCAACATGACCAAATCTAATCAAAAACGAATCAAAAAACCAAAAAGACCTCCACCAACAACAAATCATGAATCAGAATCAGAATCAATCAACGAAGATAACTTGATACCAATTCCAATAGAATCAGGTCACGATTCAACCAAACCCACTCCATTTGATCGATTACCTTGGAAAACAATCAAATTACCTGAATTAATTGGCGATGGTTTAACTTTTGAAGCTGATGGTGGAATGCTTGGTTTAGAAGAATTAGATGGATCAGTTTGGGAGCAAATCAAATCAGGTGTTAATCCTAAATCATTCATGAACAATGATGATGAGGAGGATGAGGATGAGGATGAAGAAGAGTTTAAAGGAATCCAAGATGATGACGAAGATATTAATTTAGATGAATCCAAAGATTCAACTTCAACGGATCCCAATAATAAAACAGAAACGAAATTGAGTGCTGAGAAATTAGAAAGGAAACTGGCCAAAAAAGCAAGATTGGCTGCTTTACGTCAAGCTAAAGCTGAAAAACGTCAAACTGAAATATCAAATGAAGTGATCAGACCGAACAAAAAGAACAAGATTGATAATCAAGATAAAGATCTCGAAGGTTTAAAAGATGTTGATTGGGCATTGGCTGCTGAGATTGATGGGTTATCTGATATGGAAGATGATTTTGAATTTGATATTTCAAAAATTACGTTTAATGGTTAGTGAGTTTATAGTTTTTGATTTCTACTTTCCTTTGATATCAAACACGTCCTGATGTAACCACTTGTTCTACTCAGACGCTTTATTACCAGGTTGGAGTCATCATCAACTACCAAGTGTTTTAAAACATGCTATTCATACACTTTCTTTTGATAAGCCTACCCCAGTACAAGATGCTACTTTACCAATCTCATTATCCTCAACTCCATCTCGCGATTTAGTGGCAATAGCCGAAACTGGATCTGGTAAAACCTTGGCTTATGCGATCCCGATCATCAATTCACTTCTAGATTCTTTAAAGCTTCCAACCTCACCTGATTGTCCAGATGATTTACCCATCAAAGCATTAATTTTAACACCTACACGTGAATTATGTCTACAAGTGAAATCTCATATCGATTCATTTGTTTTAGCCATGTGTACACCAACTGGAGATACAGGAAAAGAAAAACCAAAGAATCGATCCGGAATCTCAACTATAGCTGTTTGTGGTGGGATTGCAGCTGCTAAACAACGTAAACAACTCGAACGTAGTCAAAGATTATATAACTCTGAAAGAGCTGGTAAAGGATCGATTCTTGTAGCTACTCCTGGTAGATTGTGGGATTTGATTCAAAGTTGGGATGCATTAGCTAACGGGATTCGGAGAAGGTTAGATTGGCTTGTGGTAGATGAAGCAGATAAGATGGTAGAAAAAGGACATTTCGCTGAAGTAGAAAAAATTCTTAAACTCATTCAACGTCCTTCTAAAACTCTTGAGAATAGTAACTGGGCTGATGATTGGGGTAAAGATCAAAAAGTGGTAGTTAAAGAAGATGTTCGAACTATGATCTTTTCGGCTACTATGGATAAACATTTACAAATCAATTTGAAGAAGAATTGGAGACAAAGTAGAGCTCAAAGAGATAGAGTTGCGGCTACAAAGGATCCTTTAGAAGATTTACTAGAACGAATTGATTTTAGAGATGAGGAACCTGAAGTGATTGATTTATCACCTAAAGGACGTGTCGCGGTTGGATTAAAGGAATGTAAGATTGAGTGTGTCCTCAAAGATAAGGTTTGTGATCGAATTAATATCGTAGGTTACTGAAAAGATATGCTGATCAATGATTTTTTAATATAGGATCTCTATCTTTTTCATTTTCTTCTAAGATATCCAGGTCGAAGTTTAGTATTCTTATCATCAATCTCAGCACTCCGAAGATTAGCACCCATAGTCACCCTTCTATTTCCAAAGTCAACAGTTTTAACATTACATTCAGCAATGCAACAACGTGCAAGACTTAAATCACTTGATAAATTTAAATCTTCACCTAAGACGATTTTACTTTCTACTGATGTGGCTGCTAGAGGTTTAGATATCCCTTTAGTAGATCATGTGATTCATTATCAAGTTCCTCGTACGGTAGATTGTTATGTCCATCGGTCCGGAAGAACTGCAAGAGCGGGTAGGGATGGAGTTGCTTTGGTTTTGATTGCACCTGATGAAGTTAAGGTTTGGCGTGGTTTGATGAGAAGTTTAAACAGAGGTTAGTCATCATTTTTCGGTATCCAATCATGAACTTTATAATTTTAATAGATTGTTCTGACGAAATGGGTTTTCATTTTTCGTATTTTTACAGTTGATAATTTACCTTCTCCACCTATTGAACATTCGATTTCTAATAAATTGAAAGAATTGGTCACTTTAGCTAGTAAGATTGATGAACTTGAACATAGATCAACTAAGAAATCAGCCGATGCGAATTGGGCCAAGAAAACAGCTGAATTACTTGATATTGAGGACGATGATGGACAATATGAGTAAGAATCCAACTTGAACATCTCTCTCTTTGAAGAACTTTTTAGTTATTAATTAATACGAAGCTAACTGATTTCCAATTTGATTACTTTTCTTGTATCAAGTTCTGATAATGATCCATTACAAATGAGCAAGCGAGCATCAAAATCAGTGACCACCAAGATCAGAGCACTTAAATCTGAATTATCATCCAAACTTGCTCAACCGATTCAATTACCTTGTAAGATAGTTAAACAAACAAGACAAAGAGCTCATGGGATTTCGAATTGTTTTATTACTGATCCTGATTTGATGCAAAGGTTGTTGGATGGTGAAAGTCATGAGAAAGTACTTGGCTTGGCTAAGGATGTGAATGCTGTTAAAGATTTAGATGAGCTTAAAAGTAAGGGGAAACGGAAACGGATGAAGTAGTTTGCTTGGTTTGGATTTTGGAAACCGGTTGGGGTTAGCATATGATTCTGGTTGTGGTGCTGGGTATTTACTTTGGGTTAGGATGTTTTGTTGTCCGACTGTGAAATTGGATCATATACTGCAAAAACAAATCATGTGCCATATTAACACTTCATCTCATAGCAACAAGTCTTGCGATCTGCTTCCATTCCTTCATCGTCTCGAATGGAATACCTACTCAGCTTCCTTCAACGGGTTTCGTAACATCTCAGGCGGTAGACAAAGGAATATGTCAAAGGCATTGATCCGATCATCCGTGTATTGCTAGCCTGAACCATCTGTTTTGAGAGACACCTTTAGTCTTTATAAACGGGCTTCATGGACTGGTGTTTGTTGTAACTTCTGCTTCTATGATGGGATTGTAGCCGGGCTGTATTACATTCAGAGTACAGGATGCAGAGTCGGCGTAATGAGATGCACTGAATCACACAAGTTGCTGAGCCAGGCCAGATCAACGCAAGGGAAGTCGAGACATATCTCGATGAGAGAAGTCTCGTGTAAAGAAACGCGAGCAGTCTAGAATTAGACTGCATGAGCCATCGCTAAAGCCTAACAAGACATTTGTCCGCAAGACATAAGTTAAAGAGAAGGAGATGATAGTTCTCGAGGTCATCGCTAGATAGCAAGTGAGGAAGAAGAGACGATTGAGATCATGTGGTTGTCCAAACCGATCTGGTCCTCATCAGTTCTAAGACGGACCCTCATTCTCGTCTCTCCCATTTCTCTCATCTCTTTGGTTTCTAGACTCCATTCAGTTGTATTATAAGGCGAGTCTTTTCTTTCATTGATTTCCTTATTTTGACTCTATACGTACAACGAAGCTTATGCAATTTACCAAGAATGTGATGCATGTCTCTAATTGGTGTTGACCGTTTGACTTTGTTTATCAAGTGAGCTGTTGAATCATGAATGCAGTGAGCAAGATCCGATAAAAGTGTTTGATCGGATCGTAGGGTTATGATGGATGTGGGGAAAAACCTGAAGATACCCTCCTCACCATTACTTGATGAAGAAAGTCGTTTGATTGATACTTGAGCTTACTGTTTGATTATTGACCTTCATCATTCCTCATGGTATCATCGGCTGAGCTTGTAGGCAGTACCGTTCCAGATAAGTCAATTCAAATATCAATCGATCGAGGAGGTGAGCAAATGATCAAAAGCATTCAGTCATGAAAGCCTCAACCTGATTCTAACGATTCGTTCACTTTCTTCAAGGAACCTTCACCGATGTTCATGTCTCTTATCCATCTACTGATAACTCATCAGGACCTCGTCAACAATGGGCTATCAAACTTTTATCAGTAGATCCTGCATACGAAGATGCACCTCGTGAAGGTATTCGTCGTGCACTTCAACACGTCTTACAATGTTCGATCCCACGTAATCAGAAGCTTAACACAGACAAGATTGGTGAGTTATTGGTCAACTTGCTATATTCAATCACACGGCTAATCCATCGTTTCCCTATCGTTGTACTTCTCATGCTACAGACTACATTCGACTTTCGACTACAGTAGCTACAAACGCACTCTTAGAACGTAAAGGTGCAGATCACGCTTTACTAATCACCAAAGGTTTCAAAGATATCTTAGCAATAGGAAACCAATCCAGACCCAAGATCTTTGATTTGGCCATCCGAAAACCAACAGTACTTTATAAGAAAGTTGTTGAGATTGATGAAAGAGTGACTTTACTAGGGTATTCTTCGGATCCATTATCTCAAGAAAGAGCTCCTAGGTTCGATGAACATGGTAGGATCATTAAAAGTTATGATTATGATGGGTTGAAAGATGGGGATGAAGAATTTGTTGTTAAAGGAACTAGTGGGGAGGCAGTGAGTGTCATCAAACGACTAGGTAAGTCTTCGTCTCTCTCCGCAAACCCAACGTGATCAAAACAATAGGTTCTTAACCAGGATTGCTGATATCCTTTCGCCCTACTTGATTCACAGATGAGGAAACGGTAAGAGCTCAATTGAAGGCTCTCAGACAAGAAGGCTATGACTCACTTGCAGTAGTCTTGATGCATTCCTTCACATATCCAGGCAAGCCTTGAATCATTCTGTTAGTTTTAATCATCTGATTCACAGAAAAAGTGACATAAATCTGAAATTGAGATGTAAAACAAAAACAGTTCACGAGCAAAGGATTGAAGGAATTGCTAAATCATTAGGGTTTTCACATATTTCAATTTCATCAAACTTAATGCCAATGATTAAACTAGTACCTAGAGGTACTTCATCAACTGCAGATGCATATCTAACTCCAATCTTAAAACGTTATATCGATGGATTCTTTTCTGGATTTGATGATTCATTACGGTTAGGTGGTTCAAAAGGAACAAGAGTTGAGTTTATGAGATCTGATGGTGGACTTACTGGTGTAGAAGGTTTCTCTGGACTTCATTCAGTTCTTTCAGGTCCTGCTGGTGGTGTGGTAGGTTATGCACTTACCACTTTTGATCCGATCGAACGGATTCCTGTTATTGGTTTGGATATGGGTGGCACAAGTACGGATGTTAGTCGGTTTGATGGTCGATATGAGACTGTCTTTGAAACTACCACTGCAGGTGTAACTATTCAAAGTCCGCAGTTAGACATTAGTGAGTTCATCATCCAGATTACAAATAGTCTTGACCTTTCTTTTGACCGAAGATTGACTGACATAAATCATGGTGAGGGTTTTAAACAGATACAGTAGCAGCTGGCGGTGGATCTCGTTTGTTTTGGCGTAATGGACTTTTCGTCACTGGACCTGAAAGTGCGGGAGCAGATCCAGGTCCAGCATGCTATCGAAAAGGTGGTCCATTAGCAGTAACAGATGCGAATTTACTTTTAGGTAGACTGGTTGCAGATCATTTTCCTAAAATCTTTGGAAAGAATGAAGATGAAGGATTAGATGAAAACGCTTCTAGAAAATCTTTTGAAGATCTAACTAAAGAAATCAATGATGAATTAGGTAATGAGGTTCAAAGAATGAGTATTGATGAAGTGGCATGGGGGTACGTTTTCAAAAGCTTAATTTATATTTGAGATAGAAAAACATGAGGCTTATTCGTTTTGGTTTGTAGATTCGTGAAAATTGCTAATGAAACTATGTGCCGACCGATCCGTGCACTGACCGAAGCTCGTGGTTATGATGCAAGTCGGCATGTTCTAAGTACTTTTGGTGGTGCTGGAGGTCAACATGCTTGTGATGTTGCTCGAACTCTTGCCATTCGTCGTATTGTCATCCATCGTCATTCGTCAATATTGAGCGCTTATGGGATGGCTCTGGCTGATCGAGTGGTCGAACGTCAGACACCATGCTCAACTGTTTATGAGACTGAGGGTGAAGGTCGAGATGGACTCCTGGTGACACTAGAGCGCCTTCAAAAAGAGGTGCACGAAGAGCTATCAAGCCAGGGGTTTCAAGATAATCGAATCGTTATTGAACGGTATCTGAATCTGAGGTAAGTGAACTCCATTCCATTAGTTGATAAAATTACTGACGGAAAGACAGAAAAGCGTCAACTGATTATGGCTCTACGGGGGGATATAACTAGGTATGATGGGACAGATACGGCATTAATGATCTTGGAAAGCAAAGATGATGGTTTTGAGTTTATCAAGGCTTTTGAAGACTCTTATCGACAAGAGTTTGGGTTTGTACTCGAGGAGAAAAGATTAATATGCGATGACGTACGAGTCAGAGGGATTGGAAAGTCTTTGTTGAGTTGTCCATTCACCCACCTCCCTTTCTCCTGACTCCTTCAGCGAAAGTTGATAATTTGTTGACTGTTCACTAACCTCCTACCAATTTCCAATTTAGTGAGTCACTAGGAAAAACATACTGTGAACAACTGTCCGAGATTACCTTTCAGTCTGTGGTTGACCGTCATGATCCAGATCAGTATCATTCAGTCTATTTTGATCAACCTTACGGAAGGCAAGATCGAACCCCAATCTATCTTTTAGGCCGACTGAGTGTTGGCGACCTGATCAAAGGGCCAGCTCTATTAATTGATGGTAAGTATTGATATTTGATTTATTTTTTGTTTGTTTGGGAATATTGGCTAGTAAAATATTGTTTGGAGACACTTCTGATGCTTAATTTATGTTTGAACCGATGTGATATGGTTACTTTACTTAGATTTACAAACCTTGGTGATTGATCCAGAAGCTGAAGCTAAAGTTTTGAAAGAGCATATAGTGATCGATCTGATTGAAAAATCAAAGACCACATCAAACTAAAGACTGAAAGTCCAGATGACACCACTTTGCGTGCTGATCACAATCTTTTGGTACTTCTCCAATGTAAGAAATTTACTTAAGACGACCAGCAGTGTATACAAGTCACAATCATAAGGAATATAATTTTCTATCTTCTTGTACTTCCTTAACCCCGGGCGTTCATGGTCAACCTCTTCCAAAGGCTTTTGTTTGGCTAACTCTGAATCTGATCCGCCTTCTTTTTCTGTTTTACCTTGATTGATTTAAATGTACATCAACTTGATGATTTTAGACAAAGATTGAACATTGTGTATGACTAAATTGAATTCCAAAGAAAAATTTAAACCAAAGACCTTACTTGAAATTTTCTATTTGAATATTTCATACAAATCTCACCTCATAGATCAAAATTATCAAGAGGCCATCTGATAGCAGTTGAAAATGCTAAAGACAAGTGACAATTGTCGGTGCGTCCAACCGATGTGATAAGCTGGTGCAACAATCAGAACTCATTCTACATACCTCAAATCCTTAACTTCACACCCATGAAAAAGCATTGACCAAGAGAAATCAATTTGATTGTTGTGCCAAGAATTCCTCGAGGAAGATCATGAATTTACAGCGCCATGGGAGTAGGTCTGTGAAGTGGAAGACACATTACTACATCATTGAGGGTAAACTAATGTGCTATTTGTCAAGAAGAAACAACCCGGGCAGTTATGAAAGTGGAACCCTTCATCATGATGAGATTCAGAGTAGTGTTCATCAGGAAAACATCGCTTGACTTTTCAAGTTCTTATTAACCAAGACAATATGTGGCAAACTGAATTATCAGACCAACAACTCAACTGTCAGCCACGAAACTCACAAAACATTGATTGATGATTTCTGCTGATAGATGTGGTGAATCAGCAGATATAAATGGGTAATTATTGAGGTTGTAATTTGAACAATTGTTGCAAATAAACCCGGAAAACTCATTCAACTTGCGTTTCTTGTCAATTTTCCTCCTTTGTTCATTCATTTCATTTACAGTCATTTAAGAAAAGCTTGCCCTAAATTGCCCGCAAAACTCGAGCAAATTGGCGGGGAATTTGGTCTTTCACCTCGCCTAATTCTTTCTGACAACTCAAAAGTCAATACAAAAAGTGACTGCTTCATGTTAGTGACATCACTTAGAAACATCTTACAATGAAATCCCAATGAAATGGATTATTCTTTCTGCCTTTATCTAATTGTCACTAACGATTATATTTCGACTGCTTTTTTTGAATATTTAATTGTCAACAAAGAAAACAAATAGAAATATAACATTTTTGAGAAAAAAAATCCAAACCCAAAAAACATGTCTATGAAGAATACCTTCCTTTTTGAAAAAAAAATTCTATTTATCATCATTCATCATCAATTGCAAAAGAAAAAAAGACAAACAAAAAAGAATTAAAAGAAACAAAAAAAAATGACAAAAAAACAAATTGATCAATTAATCGATTTAAAAACAAATTCATTCATCTCTATATTCTTCTTTCTCTTTTCCTTTTCCTTTCCCTTTTGATTTAACAATTCCTTCATCATCATGTTCATTTTCATTTGTATCAACATCACTTTGAGTACCATCACCATCACCAAACGCATCATAAAGTTCTTTGGTCATCATTTCTTTCTTCCTTTGACTTTTTCTATTATTACTCTGTTCATCAATTTTCCTCATTGGTAAATCTTCTTCTCCTACAATCGGTTCGAATCCATAACCATTCCCATGACTTGAATCTTTACGACCTCTCACTTCTTGAACAACCTTTCTTAACATCTCTCCTGCTACTCCAATCCCATGGTTTTGATTAGAATACCTTTTTCCTCCTCCTGACAAAAGTCCCATTCGATCATCTTCATCTTCATCTGTTTCATCATCATCATCATCAATTCCTATTCTTCTTCTTCTTCTCATTCTTCTCATCATCATCCAACCTAATAAAGATCCTCCAACGATAATCGTCGTGCCAAAAACAATAAAGATCCAAACTGATTTCCCAGAAAGATATCCAGTCATTCCTCCTAAACCAGTTAAGAAATCTTCCATTCCTGCATGATCTTCAGGTAAATGAGCCGTCGGTTTTGATAATAATTTGGTCTTCTCATTATCTAATTGTCCATCTGAAACTTGAGGTGGTGGATTTGTTCCGGGAGCAGGTACAGGTGAAGGAGCAGCACTAACAGTACTCGCCGGTTTAGTTTCATCTTCTATCGTACCAAATGGTACACCTGAGATAGGTGGTCCAACAGGTAAATGAATTTCAGAATCATCTGGCATCTTGAAAAGTTTTTGAATCTTTGGATCTTTACATTCTCCCCATAGTCCGATAGCCCAATCTTCAAATGTACCATTCTTTCCTGGTGTTTGATGTGGATCTAAAACTGATAATGTCCATTTCCCAGCAGCTGGTTCACCCCAATGTTTGACCGTCATAAAGACCCAACCTGGAAAACCTGTTTCGGCTTCATCATACCTTCGATGAGTTGCTAAGATTGAAACGGTTCCATGTGGACTCGTAAGTGTAACTCTAACATTCCCTCTTCGGCCGTGTAAAACGTTGAGTGCAACCGTAATATGTTCAAGTGTTTCGAAATTCGCTCCATCTAAATCAGATTGTTTAATCTCAAGAGTCGAACTAACACCTTCTTTTGTAATCACTTGTTTAAGTGCATTCACATTTGGTGAAGTCCAATAAGCTTGAGGTTTCACTAATTTCCATGTTTTGGCGGCTTCTACAATTCTAGATGCATCCATATTACCAAAACCAAACTTATGATTATACCATCTACCTGTGGCTGTTTTTTGCCAATCTGGATCTGACATTAAGATCGGTTCTGCTGTTGAAACTACTAAATGTTGTACATCTCGCCATGTTAAGTCGGGTCGGGCTTCTAATACTAATGCAAGAATTCCTGCACCTAACGGAGCTGCTGCTGATGTACCACCATGTCGATCTGTACATTTATTCTTTCCTACATCTGTTGTATGCTATGGATTTTTGAGAGTAAATAATCGATGAGAAACGAAAAATTTAAGAGTTGAGTTAGTTTCAAGAAAAAAGATTGAATCGTTCATCGAGAAAATGGAGAAATAAAGGAAATCCAAAGAGATGAAAATACATACAATATTATCACCAGAACCAGATGAATAAGTCACTACCATATTAGCAGAACAAACTTCCGAATAGTAAGGATGTAAACCTTTTCGATCAACAGCACTGATAGTCACCGAATAAATACTATTTGTATAACCATCAAAATTACATTGATCATCAACTGCACCACCATTTCCACTTGCAAACACAAACACACTACCTTTTCCACCTCTACCATTTTGAATTCCATTTAGTATAGCTTTAAAAATTAATCTAGATGGAGCTTCCATTGATTTCCCATCATCTGGTGGACCCCAAGAACAAGAATAAATATGATTTTCTTGGTATTTATAGTTTAAGGCTGATGCTTCATCTGCATCACTTATTGAAGCTGATAAAATTCGAATTCCTGCTACTTTGGCATCATATGCTACTCCTACTCCACAAACATCATTTCGAATCGCTGCGATTTCTCCTGCGCATCTAGTCCCGTGTAGATCATCAGGTAATCTAGGTGCAGGTAAAGGAGCATGATCATTATAATCCCAAGATCCACCTTCAAACTAAATCAAATCAATCTCGAAGAAAAAAACAGAATTAGGAAATCGTAAACTGATCGAATGGTTTGAAATGATAAAGTAAACTCACAAAATTTGGACTTAAATCATCTGAAGTCATATCCAATCCATCATCTACAATCGCAACCGTGACATTTTTTCCAGTAATCCCGCTGGCCCAAACATCCGTTACATTGATCATATGTTGACGCATTTCATCATTAGCTAAATGCCATTGTTTTGGCCAAAGTGGATCTTTGATATTAAATTGAGATCCTAATCTTTGACTTAAACTTTTCATTACTTGTCTTCTTTTAATTGTAGGAGGATCGAAATCTCTTTTAATGATAGGTGTTGATCCATCTTTTGATGGAATATAAATTATATCACGTTTATGACGTTTTCTTAAAACTTGTTTGTCTATTGATTTCATTAATTTGATGGCTTGTCTAGATGAAAGTAATGGTGCTGTTAATGATCTACGTTGATCGTAATAAGATTGATCGATTTTTTGAACTTCTTGTAATACTGATCGATCGTGTAATGAACGTTTAAAGAAATCATAACGTTCAATTACACTATCTCTTTTTTTTAATTCTCGATTTGTTGATCTACTTTGGATTGAATGATAATAAGGATGATCAAAACCTGATTCTACAATTTGTTTACTTGCTCTTACCAAATAAACATCTTTTAATTCTCCTACTTTTTCTACAAATTCAACTTCTAATGGTCTGATGATTTCTTCTGGATTTAAATGGATTGCTGATTCTGAGATTTCGATTACATAATATTCATGAGTATCATAATGTCTTTTTTTGGGTTGTTGTGATGCTGAGATTTGATTGAAAGTTAAATTGATGATGAGGATTGAGATGATGAATGAGAATGAGAGTGAGAATGAGAATGATTTGAGTTTGATTGATTTTGATATCATATGAAATTGTGTGTTGAATTAGTTTGAAAGGTGTTCTTCATTCAGTTCTTTATAGTTCCTGTTCTTGTTCTTTGTGCTGACGTTCTTGAGGATGGTGATGGTGATGGTAGTTGTTGTTGGTGTTGATGTTGTTGACTGATCAACTGTGAGTGGTGTTTGTTTGATGAAGTGTATGTTTCGTGTAAGTCTCACTCAATATTAACATATAGCTTTCTACATATTCGATCATCGACCTTCATCGACATATTCTCAGGACGCGGCCGCGCAGAGAGTCGAGAATGAAGATGTCGGTGCAAGCTCCTCTGGCGCGCCAAACAGCGCGCCAGCTGGATTTCAAAAAAGGCCGGGGTCAGGATCTTGGTGGATTAGTGGCAGCTTTATGCAAAAAACCCACCATTGTTACAGAAAGAGGTGATGTCAGACTTACATGCTGAGCATCAGTTGACAGACCTATTGACTGATGGTTTGCTTTGCCATCAGTGTCCTCAGTGTGTTGAGCAAGTCCTTTGAAAAAATTGGCCACCAGAGTTTTGGAAAAATTTTCCCATGCAGGTGGACCAAGAGCCTGTTCTACCAAATGCCTGCACCAAAGACTACCAAGTGTCAAAGTAGGATGGGAGTAACTCTTTTGAAGATGCTCTCACAGCTTCATATAGCACTTTCAGGGCAAGGCAATCAAATGAAGGCCTCAAAGTCAATTATCAAGCACTCAAAAGATACCCCAGTCACAAATACAGAGGACAACTGGGTCAATGAACCTAACAATTCTGATTTGTTCACTCAACCCAATGACTTTGAAATGTTCAAGGCTGAGCCCTTGGTATATAAAAACTGGTGATATCAAAAACATCATTGATGATAGTTTTGATGGACTGATCAACAAGTTGTTTGATTTAGATCAATTTAAGGCTGGTGATGCTGTTGATCTCAGAGTCTCAGGCATGAAGTTGGTGTAATTGAGAGTGTAGATACTGAGTTGACCTTAGATGATCTCTAGACCCAGCTTGAGACCCACCTGGATCCCTCTTCTTGTGATTGCAATCATAGGGCTGAAAATTCCTCAGTCACCCTTGCAAGTCTCAAAAAAACAGGCACCTTCAGCATTTTCTTCCATTTTTTTATTTTTTTAGGAAAACGTGTGTGCCAGCACGCCATTGGTCGCAGCCTCCATCTACTAGTCACTGGCAGGCGAGAGACTACCACTGACCTCAACAGAATTTCATTTCAAGCAAAGTTTTGTCCCAACATCTCACCAAAATTCTGATGTCATCAAATGACATCATGAATTTGTACACACCTGCTCCTGTATCCACAGATCAAGAATATACTGTTCATCAACCTTTGTCACATAAACTGGATGATCTATCAAGCTTTTAAGAAAGAATCATGGACCAAAAGCAGAATTTTTTCACTGTAATCAATAATCAAATCTTGACTAGCTTCAAACTACATCAATATACATACAAAAAAACTTGATGAACATTGCCGCAATACGGCTTTCCTAACCCTAAAAAACTGCAACAACAGGAAAGCAGGTTAATTTGAAATTTGAGGGATATTGAGAAGAGTTGTTAGAAAGGGAATTCTGGACATACAAGGTCAGTCTTTCTATGACTAACAGTTTCACTGGCTGATGACCTTGACAAAGGCATGCCTGTGTTTGGTGCTAAAGACTTATTTCAAGCATCTTACCACCATCTACAAAAATTCCATGTCAATGTGCCACACAAGCATGGACACTGTGATGGTAGGACATACATGGTGTAGAGCCAGAGTTGATGAAAGATTTTCTGGCTACCATGTTTGGTGCAAAGCTGATTGATATCAATTTTGGGCCATTGTGCTGTGTTGTGTGCCACACAACAATGGTTTTTTAATCCCAAATCCCTGCAACACAACAAGCAAAAGTAACTCACATTGTGTTGTCTGCAATGCAAAAAATTGTTGCTCTTGTTGCTTTTGTTGTGTTGCCAGAAATTCAAAGGCAGTTGCTCTTGTTGCTTGAGTCACATGTTGAATTACAAAAAAAAGAGATTTTGTTAAACACCCTCCACAGTGCGCAGAAACTGAGCTGAGATATATATGAGGTTGTCCAGTGTTCATTTAATTTTGCTGCTTGAAAATCTCTTCTGAGATGCTTCTTTGATCTTTAAGACTTGCTTGAAGGATTGTTTCTGTGGAAAATTCTTCTGTTTGAATATCAAATTTATAGTGACACACTGGCCACTATTTACACCCTTTTTTTTATTTCTTTGGATCAATCAAGTTTGAGCTGTGGATTTGTACCTTGCTTCACCTATACTTCAATGTTGATCATGCAGGGTACAAATCAATTGACAGACATCAAATAGAAAAAGCAGCCTATGGTTTGGTGGAACAATTCTTGTAGTACCCTTTACCAAAACTCAAGGTGGAGGTGGAATAGTGGTGCTGCTGAGGTCAACAAGGTAATTTTACATATATGTTTGGAGTCACACAACCTAGTCCTTGCTCAAGGAGCACAACCCATTGCAGGTGGTGTTTCGCCAGCAACACACCACAACTACAAAAAAAAACTCAACACACCAGGCTACTTTTTATCACAGCCTGTGTGTTGTGTTGCCTGCACCAGGCCATTGCTTGGCATTGCTCATTTTTAGCAATTCACCAGCCCAATGTTATTGTTATGTACAATTACTGTTGAGCCTTGCAGAAGCACTGTACTATGATGTACTACACCTTGAGAATACATGTAAGTTTTCAATCAGTTTGATAAGCTGGGGAATAGACAGGTGATAGCCTGATACCCAGGTAAGCCAGAGTTCCTTATGGATATTGCACTAACCTTTCAAATTCCAGGACACAACACCTGAAGGCTGGTCTGATGGAGTTGAAACCCTACTCACCATGTTGATCCTTTGGTGCCCCCAGTCTTTGTCAGCATGAACTATGCAACACCAAGAATCACTTTATCAACTTTTTTAAAAAACAGATCCCCCAAGCCCCTAAAAACACTCAAATGACAAAGTGAGATATATTTGATGTCATCTTGTTGAGGGATATTCAAAATTATCCTCTGCAGACCACATTTGGAAGTTTTTTTTACTTTCATAAGACTGATTAATTTGGGTTTTTTTGTTGTAGTAGATACAAAATACCTGGTCTGTGCCTTTATGCTTCTTGGTGTCACCCACCATATTCTAGTCAACTGACCAACCTAAGAGCTCTGGATGAACCCATGATAAATTCAACAACCTTGAATTTTAAATGTAACATAGTCCCTTGGAAGCAGTGAAACCCAAAGCCTGCATAGGGACTTGCAGAAAATGTGGCTTTCCTGGCATGAGAGGTTCCAAACTAGAGATGTTACACAAATGACACAATTGTATGTAAAAATTGGAAAGACACAATCTGGTCAGCAATGAAAATTTGAGAATGGCACAGGATATGGAGGATATCAATCAAGGTTCATGCCTGGAAGAAGCCAGACTTCAATCCCTCAAATAGAAATCAGAAACTCTTTTGCCTAGCAAAAGTTTTTCTTTGGGTCCGTTTTTACCTTACTAATCTCAAGACCTCTCAAGCCAGGAAGGCTACATTTGGTGTAAGTCTGTGCAGGCTTTGGGTTTTACTGCCTGCCAGGGAATTTGTTAAGTTTGCTTGAATGTCTTCTTGGGCTAGCGTTTGGAATTTCAAAATTGTCAGTTGAGTTAGAAACAAGTGAGAAGAGAGGTGAGAAGTAAACACATACCTTTTGGCTGTGATCACCACCAACCAAACCAACCCAATAGTTCACTTCCACTCAATTGAATTTTGCTTTGATCCATCATCTTTTCCAATTGAGCTGAAGAAGTATCCTGTTTTGATTGAAAACCCAATCAGGATCTCAAGGTGTGTCTTCATGTTATCTTTGAATGAATACCAACTTGAACCTGGCTCATGCCCTCATTGTACCACCTGCCAAGTTTTCTCTAATTAACTCAGAACAGCAAAAAAGTTTGTCAAAAGAGGATGAAGGAAATATTTACAGCTTCAAATGAACTGGTGAGAAAACCTCTATAATTCATCACTTCATCAAGACCATGCATGATCAACACACAGCTTCAACTTATATTCAAATCTTCAAATTCTGTTCACTTAAGCATATCAAAAATCTCACTAGGAACTACTATACTGTACTAAAACAGGAATGAAATAACACACTAAAAGAAAGAAAAAAAATCATATAATAAATATATAAATGATGTAGAGCAATAAAATGTTCTAGATAGAAAAATAAATCAGGTAACGAAAATCAAAAAGGGAAAAGAAAGAAAAGAAAGAAAAGAAAAGAAAAGAAAAGAAAAGAAAAGAAAAGAAAGTCTTGAACCAGTCCGTTGGATTCCATTAACATGATTCTCTTTGTTGATCTTTTTTTTCGAAAAGTTGAAAAAAAAAACTTTTCAAATCCAATTTCCCACTGCCCGCCTCCACCACTATCCGACCCCTTGCTCCAATTTTTCAATCGGTTGTGCTCCCAAGTTCCTGCTTTCCATGTTTTTTGTTTGATTCTTTGGGTTATAGAATCTTACAAACCCTACGTTTCATTTTTTCCATCTTACGTCCTCTCATTGCTAATTTGAGTGCTGCATTAAATAATTCTTTTACCCCGTCATTATGTTTTGCCGAACACTTTATATTCCCCACAAAACAAAACGCACATATCAGTTCAGGTCAGACCAGAATGATAGATGCGGAGAGAAAGAGTTTACCTCCATGTATGTTGCACCAATTTCTTTTGCTACTGCTTGACCTTGTTGAGCTGTTATTGGAGTTGTCCCTTGTGCTGCTAATAAGTCTAATGTCCGTTGGTCTCGTCGCAGATCAGTCTAAACCCCACCAAAAAGCAAAAATCGAAAACAGGTTGAGTTTGGTGGAACTTGTGAGTAAGACGGTGAATTTGAATCCTACCTTAGTTCCGACCAGAATCAATGGTACTCCTTCACAAAAGTGTGAAACCTCAGGATGCCACTTCATAATCGAAGCAAAAATCAAAAACAGAATCAGAATCCATGACAAAAAAAAGTTGAGTTGAAATGAAACTGACCTTATCGGTCACATTAGCTAAACTAGTAGGAAAATCAATGGCAAAAGCAATAAAGATCACATCACTTTCAGGATAAGATAAAGGTCTAAGTCGATCATATTCTTCTTGTCCTGCTGTATCCCATAATGCTAATTCAACAAATTTAGATGAATCATTTGGAAATGGTACCATTGTAACATAATTCTCAAATACAGTAGGAATATAAGCCTAATAAAAAGAAGATCAAATGGTTTTTCTTTTTGAGTTTGAGTGATTGAGTTTGTTTTGAAGAAAGAATTAAAAAAGGTGAACTGACTTCTGGAAATCGATTTTCAGAATACATGATCAATAAACAAGTCTTTCCACATCCTCCATCACCAGTGACAACTAACTAAAAAACTCAATCAAAACAAAACCCAAAAGAAAGATTAAGTTGTTTTGAAAGATTTGATTGATTTGGTGGGGAAAAATCAAACGAAACATCTCCGACTGACTTTCCGTTTTGCATCCGGTTTACGATAAGTCGAACCATTAGAATTTCCACCAGAAGTCATTCCATTGATATTAGAACCAGAACCTTGAGCCACATCACCATAAACACCATAAGTTGAACCTGATGCAGTAGTTTGAGTAGTTTGATAACCTGATTTTCGATTATCATCATAATCTGGTCTATAATCTCTTGTGAAATCTGAAGATGATTGAGGCATTTGAATCGAGTTGATTACGAATTGGATTGAGTCTTGAGTGTTGGTAGGTATTAGTTGGATGGATTAAGTTTGTAGTTGTAGGCTGAGTAGAGAAAAAAAAATGAAACCGTCTTTTGGTAAATCCAATGCTACTTCTCAAGTTAACTCAGGTTCACAGCAATTTCAAGAACAGTAACAGTACAGACTCAGAGCTTATGTGTGCTTAAGTGTCGATTAGGCTTAATTAGATACTGGATAACTCAATAGGAGTTTCACTCTCGAATCAGATCAGATCAGTAGAAACAGCTTCAACTCTTCAAGTTCAACGTTTTGAAAGTGGAGGTGGGTGTTCGGAATTAGAAGAAGCACCTTCACAAACACAAACAGTTGACGTTCGAGACACAGCCACTGAATCTAGCGATCCATCCGAGACTTAAAACTAAATTGCGTCATCATCATTGAACCTTTTCAAAGACACACGCAGCTTTACAAAGGTCTTGACAGACCACGCTTTGAGGATTTTTCCGTACGAAAGCTTTGTGTTTTAGCATTCAAAAAGCGCTCTGAGATCTTCAGACTGTGTTGCATAAAATCCGCAGTGTGCCCTTCTATTAAGCGCGTAAACAAAATGGGGAAGACGTATCATTCAGAATTCTCGTTGAGGATGAGATTGCTTGCTACCTCCGCCGCACTAGTACTGAAGTTCATGAAATTGTGATTCCAATACTTGGAAAAATAGTGCAGTGAAGAATAATTCGAACCCCAAAGACCAAGCAACTATGTACCCAGTAAAGCTGAAGTGTCAGACTGATCAAAGCTGCAGATGTGAATCATCTTGAGAGTCCACTGATTCCTAGTCAATATCATTTCCCTATGTTCATCAAGGACTCCCTAGCTTTGGAAGTCAAAGATTGCATCATTGCAGTGCACCTGTTCAAGATCAAGATTAACACAGATCCAAATGATATGTGGTTAACTTCTAACAGGCTTGAATATGTAATTTCTCTCACATTAAAGGATGATGTGAATGTCAATTTGGCTGTAAAACACATTTTGGGAACAAGACTGATTTAAAATTGGAGCTTCATATGGACATGAGTTTAGGAAATAGATAGATACACTGGACCTATATAGCAGATTTCTACATGGTGGACTGGTTTTGACACGTGATAACTTTCGTATACATACATTCCCTGAAATTTTTAGAAAACTCAAGTCATAAATCCATCTTATCCAATCGACTTATAGCTTTTATGAGATAACAGTGACTTGGGTTGAAACCAGTGGATTGCCATTCTTTTGCTTGAAGTCATTTAACCAACTTGTAATGAATTCTATCTCAAAAAGCTGAATAGCACGTATCTCTTCAGGTAACGTTTGATTTGATAAACCTCCTGGAAGTCCATTCTCGTCATAATGATGTACACCGTTTTGGATCAAATAGAATGGTCGAGTGAGTGTGCTCTTTCTAGGCTTGGCTAGAGGTGAATGTGGAGTTGCATACAGCCATGGATCACGACGGCCGTCGATGAATGCTAATCTATCAGCGGCAATCTAAGCATAGAAACATTATTAAGCGCGGGTCGAGAATCAGCAAGGCTATGAGTTCAAACATACATCGTAACCTCCATACGAATTAGGGACGGAGACGTCAGGGATCGGTGGAATTCCTGTGTATTCAGACAAACAAGTTTATTCATCTGACGATTGCAGTGCATCTTGCAAGAAAATATATTTCTCTTGAACTCACGATTATGGGCACCAGGAGGGAAGGATTGCTTGCATTGTCTTGTGTTGTAATCCAGGGTGAGATAGCGTGAGACTATTGAGGAACCTCCCACCGCAGTGTTGGTCGGGAAGAAAGCCTCTTCACGACAGCATTGATACATCTGATAAGCAGTCATCGGAGATATAGAATTGATGCGCAGAAGACTCGTCAGAAAACGACTATATAATACGGCTTGCATTCGTCCCACGTACCCATGACCTCCACGTCTGCGTCAAGTCATTGGCCTGAGAAGCTGATAAGTCATAAGTTCCAAAACAGCTCTCTGGATCTTCTGGAGTTGGACAGATGTTTTTTCTAGAAACATAGTGAGTTGTCAAATTGGCGAATGCGTAATATACTTCTGGAAATGAGCCTCTTGGAGTTTTTAGCTGAGCGGCTTTTTTGATGATTTCACAACTTTGACTCCAAACACGAGACTTTGGATCAGAGTTTGGATCCCAGTTTTGTTCTTGATATGTCGCCACGAGCCAGGTAGTCAAACTGACAAAATCATCAATGTGACTTAGACCTTCTACACCAAAGTCAGCTTTCATTTTTGAGATCGCTTTCATATCTTTTGATCCGATCAACCTATCCACAATCTCCATGGCAACTTGTAATCCCTTAACACATTCCGGGTCAGCTGTCTTTTCGACGGTTCCTGTAAGGTAGATGATTCAAGAGACACTTCGATATGTTTGAACTGGCCCTGTACACGCCAAAAGGAACTGTCAAATAAAAGAAGACCTACGGAAATAATCCTGTAAAGTGAGATATGAGAACCAGCGTGTTCTGATGTCTGAAAGTACCTCAAATTGAAACGGCCCTAGGAGCTTACTGAGTATGATACTATGGCTTTCACCGTGGCACTTGAACCAATCGCGCCCCAAATCAGATCCGGATATGTGACTTTCATGTAAGCAGCTTTGGCACCGGCGTAGGAACCTGATTCGCACTATTCATAGTAAGGACTTTTGACTACAGACGAAAGCCGTATTATGAGAGAGAGAGTTAAACTTGCCACCGTAACTGATCAATTTTGGATAGGAGGATAGGATCAAAGTAGGAATTCAAGTCAGTTTTTCAAGATTCGGGTCTAAATCCAGCATCACTGCATTCATCATAGTATAGAGGCTTGATCATGTCATTTGATAGGGGGAGGTCGGCATGAAGAAAAGACACGTTTGGTATGGGCGACAACTCACTAGATCCAAGGTGTTCCTGGAGCAGTCAAATTATGGGACTCTAGCCCAGGGAAGACAATATTTTGAGCGAAATAGGCAGCATCGGCGAGTGACTGCTTTGTATCCAAAAACCTCAGAGATTCTGTACTGAGGTCCTTGGTGGGGAATGAAGCTCCGTAGTATCGCATCTCCAGAATCAATCTTCGTCACAAAGATTGTAACAGGTAGTTTGATTAGTAAATATGATGTACAGTTCACAAGTAATGTTGACTTACCCCACACCATGAAAGGTTTCCGAAAGAAGTCTGATGATTCCTTGTTGAAGGAAAGGAATCCGTGATTGTCCTGAGATTTCACCAGCATCTAGCAAGAAGACAGGACCTCCGGGTTTATAAAATCTCGTATCTACCCAATATCTTTGTTGAAAATTTCCATCGATATGAGGAGAGTATTTTGGGTCCGTAGGAAAATGCGATATTTTTTGCTCGAATACATGGGCAACTGGTGTTGCAGTTGAATCTTTTGAAGTAGGTCTGGATTTGATCAGGTCCGGGTTTGAGGGCTTTCAGTGTGGTCCAAGCTTTGTCTTGGTGGAAGTACTTCAGAATATGGACTCACGATGATTCGCTCTTTGTGGGCGTAGACGGATTTCTGGCCAAGAGCGGCAGCCCTAAAATATTCCTGGATAGGCGAAATCATGACTATCTTGGTATCTTCACTTCACGCCTAGATACGGAAACTTACGAGAGTACACTTTGTAGAAGCATGGGAATCCCTTGCGTGTTATCGGTATCTCCAAGAAACCCTCGAACAGGAGAATTGCTGAGCTTTGCATTGAACTCGATATTAGGAAGCGATATGGACAGGGACAGAACCACTTGAGTCCAACCGAAGATCAAAGTAGCTGATGTGAGGAAAAACATAGCCGAGATGGCCGCTGCTTTCCGATGCGAAGGAAGTCTATCTTCACGATTTCCGAAAGTGTTTATAACGCGTAAAAAGGGCTTGCAATCCAATGATTTTGTCCACAGGTCTTCCTCGAACCTTGAGATTTGATCGATCGCACACTCGATGCCAACATATACAATCCTTCAAAGGTGACGATTACGAAGAGAATGGCATAACGCGCGTCGTAATTATGGGAAGGTTGCAGAAGGAGTGCAAACTTTTTGGAGTCATAGGGCACCCAAGCACCCACTATTTATGCGCCAAGGGTTTGCAAGCTGTCAACAAAGACCAACAAGTACTACAGTACTACGCGACCCAGCCATGTTGTCTGAGTCTAAGGTTGCTTGGAAGCCCTCAAGCGCCCGTGTACGAATATACAAACAACCTTCACCGCAATTAAGCAGCTAGACCATGGCGTCAGAGTTGATCCTGGTTGATCACCAGCATACACAACATGCTATGTAACGTGCACTAGCTGGGTCTTCAGCTTAGAACGGCATGGTGGGCGAAGCCGGATGTTTTTTTTATCGTTGCTTAAGGTGTTGTGGGAGCCTCAAGACTACTATCAAACCCCAACTCTACTATGCACATACCGTTAAAAATCCGGAAGTTCTCCTAGTGCGGGATTCAGGATACATCTTAAGTTCCAGCAATCTCATCCTATCTCATCTCAATGGAACTGCCAAAAAAAAGTCGCCAATAATGCGTACCTCATCGACTATGTACCGTCGGATAGAAGGTACCCTATCATGAGAGCACGCAAACCTCTTGCGAATCTTCACGATCCCTGCTCATTCTGCGCTCTGTGCCAATTGGCCATCCTTTTGCGATTCTGGGATTGAAGACCTGCTGATCACCGGGCTGGCGCCGTATTCGATGATGATGTCTTGAACTGCTTTAGTCGCCATCTCTTGATGTGATACCGGCGCCCCTCAATGAACGACTTGTGATGAGCTTGATAGCTACCCTATGTAAAGCAACATTACCTGACGTCAACAGCAGCTCGAATGTTCGATCTGGCGCGGACCAAGAGTGGCATAACTGACAGTAACATCATCTTACGTGAACCTATTGACCATTAATGTTCATCCCCACTCGTCGCTATAAATCTCAGTTTAGCGTCAGATTCGGAGCGCAAGTTGTAGAAAACCTAGAAGACTCGTCACTCAAGCCCGCAGAACTTTCTTGGAGACTCGATTGGATCAGGCTCCTTTTGATGGGTCCCTTCTTCGATATATATGCTCAGATACGCACGTCGAAAGCCAAGCTCAAATCTGAAGAGGGATCTATCTTCATAATCCTCCATGATGATATCATCTACATATACCGGATGCATTTACTTGGCACTCAGAAACTACAAACCAAAAAGACTCCACTTCATGTACAGCAGTTTCGAGAAAAAATGTCGTCGTCCAATTTTTTTTTTTTTTTTTTTTTAAGTTGGGCACTAAAATAGAATCTACTCATGAGCTGTACTCGACTTTTCAAAAGTGAAAAGTTGTGAAAAGTTGTGAAAAGTTCACAATGTGATCCAAATCACTGCTTTCTTTGTATCCGCAATCCACAACCTTTCTCAGCATGGCCTTGACCAAATCCCAGCCACCCAGCCAGGAAAGCATCGCCAGCTTCATTGCTTCCCCAATACTTCACATTTCATCTCAACGCCACCATGAATAACTGGCACACTCAAAATATGCCACCGTAAGTGAAACCACCCCCCGTCTCGACATCCCTCACAAGCTGATCCTTCTACTTCCCAGCAATCCGGGAAGCTTTGGCCGTGGAAACGTGATCAATCAATGTTATGGGATTTCTCAATCCAACAACATCCCTACAAATCCCCACTATACACGTTCGGCTGCAATGATGAGGACCAACCAGTAAGTATAAGGATCAGTTGTTCCTTATGATTTTGTCTATTCTGACTCTTTCTCAACAGAAACACGGCTCCTCAGTCCGTACCATATCCGTACCAAAGCCCTGTTAGCCAGCAGATGCCGATGCAATACGCTTGTGAAGGTAACACTTCACAACTACTATCCAGGACTCCAATTCCAAATCCGGCTTTGTATTCGGCAGAGGCCTTTCGAGCATCCAACAATGACTTAACTCCTGCCAACAGCTCTCGATACATGTATCCTGACCAGTTTTCGGCATACCAAGGAAATGAGGAGTACTCGGAATCTCCAGAGCTTCAATCAGCAAATACTCTCAATAGCTTTCCTAATGAATTTACCGAGTCCAACGAGATTTCTAATCGGTTCTCGCCATTAAAATCTAGAAACAATCTTGACTTCAATGCAGTCTCTCCTTTACAGTCTATAGAAGCTTCTGACTTTTACAATCCGGTCTTGCCTTCACATCTATTTTCCAGCTCGTCCCATCTAGTTACTCCTTCGCAATCTAGTCAAGCTTCACAATTGACCCAGGCTTCTGGATTTAACGATCTGCCTTTACAGTCTGGAAAAAGTTCAGAGTTTCCAAATCAAGTCTCGCCTTTACAATCTAGACAATCTTCGACCTTTTCCGATTCAATATCGCTTTCAAATCAAACACAACCTCCTGCAAGTGGTGCAATTGAAAGTTCTAGAGTTTCAACCGTGATCGAGGTGGAAACTGATGGAAGTAGTCTCCCCAATGAGAATGACATATGTACGTCTATCAAGCTTTGATAAAAATTGTCCTGACCTTCTAATGATTTCATTCTGGTCTATTTTAAGTCAAACATGACGACTTCAAGAATGAAGACGAGGAAGACTTTGACCAACCCAACGATCACGACAAAATTGACCAACTTAGCGACCACAACAGCACAACATCCAACAAACAACATCTTGACTACTTTTCAAATGCCAACAGCTGCCGATTGATCAGCATTAACTTCAACATCTGGCAACTCAAGTTTCCGCCAGGTAAGCCACCTGAAGTCAAAGGCAAGAACAAGGGGAAGCAAGGAAAAAAGGGGGGTAGTTACGGTAAAATACCAAAATCACCTCAGCCTAAATGGGTCAACTTGGCTCCACGTTATGCAGTTAAGAAAACGATGAACTTACACTGCGACAACTGGCTGACGTTCCGAAATCAAGTTTTTGAAGCGGTGGATGCAGAACATGCAGGTGTATTTTCTCAATTAAGAGCAGCGTATAGAGATCGTACTCTCTCAATTGAAGGGTGGATCAATGGCTCGCTTGACCACAAGAAGAACGACAAGGCTCTTATCGACGATGATGCATCTTTTAAAGAATTCGCTGAGGCTGCTCTAGCCATGCCTCCTGAAGTCAAAATGGGTCTCAAGCTGTTGCAACCTAATAACCCCAAAGATGACAAGGATGCCAATCGACGCCTATACCAGGTTTTTCGTCCTGTTCGAGATGGTGGAGAACCAAAGTCCGACGATTCCAAAGAAGAAGAAGAGGTTGACCCAGAGGAACGTACGGTGAGTTCCTTTGGAATCGTTTTCGATTTTCTGTCCATTACTTGGATCAGCTAATTTCGTATTCTATCCAGGCTGATGACGTGGATACAGTCACACAGAAGTACAATCTATTGCTTAAAAAATTTGAAAACATCATCAGCTCGCGTGAAAATGTCGCAGGTGCACCCAATCCTGCCAACGCCCAAGAGGTTCTGGTCTTGAACACTGACAGAATCCGCATGTGGGCACGCGACTGGGTAAGTCGGGAGGCCCTTCCTAATCATCTTCTCTTGATTCTTGAGCTAACTCAGCAAACTTCCAACCTCAGGATGCTGGTGTTGACGGGGTTGATGAAGTCAACCCCCCCATGCATCGTGCTGGATGGAGATATGTACCAGTTAGTGATTTCGCACAAGAGAAAGCGAGGCTTCGACATGCAAACCGCCGATTAGCCGAAGAATTGGCCACTCCTGCTCAATTGGACCCAAACTTACCTTTCAATCCAGCAAATCACTCCAATGCTCAAAGGCCCCCAACAATCAACAACTTCAATTACTTTGGAGAACAGCATTTACAATACCTTCAACCGGGAAATATGTTTGCCGCTGCAAACATCCCCGGACCTGCTCAAAGAATTCCACCGGCAACGTCTCAAGTTCCCCCTGTTACACCTCCAAACCCACGCCCCGATTCGCCTGCACCAAGGCCTTTTCCTCCATTCACCGAATTTTTGAACTTTGCCGGCGTGACATCAGAATTCACTAAGGCCCGGGAGGTATTGGAAGCCCAAGGTATCAACGACTTTGGCCGATTGTTGGATCGCAAGACCTATACTTTATCAAACCTAAACAGCATTGGCGTTCCTTTTGCCCAAGCTGCAGATATATTCAAAGCGGTGCCACTATACAATCAAGAACTCAAAAACCGATTTCATGGACGCAGTGCGGCCATTCAATAGCTATTTGATCATTCAGATATCGAGTTCTATGTTACAACGACCACTTTTTTTCTCAATCGTTTGATCCTTTTTTTTATCTTTCAAAAGGTCCGATTTTAAGTTGTATGGTACAACTTTTTTTTTCAATTGTCTTATGTTTTTCTCAATCGTCTTATCGTTTGATTTACCTTTTGAAAGTTCTGAATGATAGTTGTAAGGTACAACTATCTTATATCTTAAGCTTCAAGTGCAATAAAAGTTTGTTATGTGATTATCCCCTCTCCACCATAGTGAGTTTAAAAAAACTTCACACCGTATCCGATGCGCAATTGATTTGACATGATTGAAAGTCATATTTGACCTCACACTCAAGGCAAAACTGCAAGACACGCAAACTCATGTAAAAAATGCTCATATTGAGTTATGATATAAAAAGAATTGATTCTTGCATTTCAAAGAGTTAACAAAGGGGATACCTCGATCATTTAGACTAACTGCATAGGATAAAATATCATTGTACTTATTTATTTATCATTCATCAACTTATTTGATTACATAATACTAAGCGATCAGCAAATCCAATAGCCACAAGTAGCCCATAATTCTTCCATGAGGCCTTCAGAGAACAGCTCCCAAACTAAATCCATAAGTGCTTCACACTTCTCCTCGACAGGGGTATTGGCCATCAGTTGAGTCCTTCGCAAATGAGCCTTCAATATAGCAAACGCCTTCTCGATCGGGTTGAAGTCCGGAGAGTAAGCTGGCAGGTAAAGCAATCGGACGCCTCTGGCTTTGGCCAGCTCCGCAATTCGTCCACCATGGTGAATGGAACAGTTATCCATAATCAGAACCGAGTTCGGAAATGGATAGGGATTCATAAGGGGTAGCTAAGTACCAGTACGTCATCAGCACTGAAATCCATGTACTTCAAGCTCAAGCAAGACTTACTCACCAGTTGATGTTCGAAGAAAAATTCGAAGTCGTTCCGTTTAAAGCTACCCTCTTGACAGGCCATAGCTAAGACACCACCAGAGAAAATAGCTGGTAGAAGGGAGTAACACTTTCCCCTACTACTCCATGGGACTCGTTTGGTCCGAGTACCAACCTTAGACCGAGCAAAGTCTCTCTTGAGACTGCGCTCTGCAATCGAACTTTCATCTTTGAAAAATGTGACCGTTTTTCAATTTAGTTAGTCAGCAGAACGAATAAAATGTAAGGAAAGGAGTGATGATGAACGCACCTAAAAAAACTAGCATATCTGAGCGCAAACCCCCAACTGTATATAAGAATGAAGCACGTTTAATCGGGTCCTGATTGGGGTGAACGGTTCGTGTTTTCTTGCGGCTGATACCTAGGCGGATCTTGAGATCTCTGAAGATTGTGCTGATTGCTACCCAATTGCCAGTTTCCTCATACAGAGCTTTTCTATACTCATCCAAATACAAAGTCGGATCCTCGTTCATGAGCTCAAGCATGAAGTCGAGATCCTCGCTAGTCAATATTGATGTTCGTCCCAGTTTCTCGTAAGTTGACGGATCGCGTACGACAGAATATGTGCGAAGATAAAGAGCTTTCCATCTTTGAATGGTGCGGCAATGGACTGAGGATCGGAGTAAGTTTTGTACCTCTTTGACGGTCTTGCCCTCATGAAGATATCGTATAGCTAAGAGCTTAATACCGGGGTCGTATTTTCCTCGTCGAGGAGTGCTTCTGGTCCTCATTTGCAATCGTAAGAATCGGGTCCTGGCATCACAGATGGAATACATCAGTCCGAGGTTGACCATGAGATTTGTGTGAGATTTCAACCTACCACAGGTCAATGGAAAGAAGTATTCGATGTTGGAATCGAATACAAAAGGGGCGTTGGAGTTTTGAATAGCGGGAGGGGGAGAAGACCAGTGAAAAGAAAAGTGGGAGAGAGGATCCACGAGTGATTCAGTGAGTACAGATCTGTACATACATAAGCTTCAATTAAATTGTGAACTTTTCACTTTTGAAAAGTCGAGTACAGCTCATGAGTAGATTCTATTTTAGTGCCCAACTTAAAAAAAAAAAAAAAAAAAATGGAGGACGACATTTTTTCTTGAAACTGCTGTAATCCAGCGGATTTCCTAGAAATTTTGTTAGCCATCTCTTGCTAACTGCATTTCCTGAAGAAGTTTTCAATTATGTACATACTTCAGGTTTCGGAGTAGGAAATCTCAGAAAGAGAATCAGGCATGATAATTGGCTAAGAAAAAGTCACGAGAGAAAGGCTTCACAATTAAGATTTATTGGGCTATCAGTCATACAATATATCTCATTTGTCATTTATGTACATTTGGCGCTCTTTACAAGCTCTACTGATTCTCTCCCGACACTTGATACTAAGCGCCTCACTATACCTCATCATAGTCTTCGTGTCTCCTGTTATTGAAGACCTTCACTTCAGATCAGCTGATCAACACTTTTGAGCTTGTTTCTGCCTCTTCATTCTTTCCCCATTACTTTATTTTCATGGCGTGACGTGATACATTAAAAATATATTTCCAAGCACATCTTGATTCTTATCTGAGCTCTCAGTGTAGAAACTCCCGCAGCCCGCCCTTCATGATCATTTTTGCTTTTCCATCTCATTTTTTTTTGCAATTTTCTCAATTCTCTCTTTCCAACTGGGGTGTGAATACGATGAAACTTTGCGATTATTTTCCACAAATAACCTTATGAGAAAGCCTATGTTATGAAATCAACTTCTTTGTTTGATATAGTCTGCCCTATCAAGCTCAATAATCGCATCACGCCTTATTTTATTTGATCAGAAAATGATTTTTCTAAGATTTTTGGGCACCTTATTTTATTGGTGATAGGTACATTTTGAACTCAACCCTGAGGATTTTCTTTTCCTGAGGACCTCTCTATGTATCTATATCTTCCCTTACATCACTTTTTTGCAACTTGGATGAGCCAGCTTTCTCTTTCATTAATGTCAGTACCCTTATTATTTTGAATATCTTTTCCCCGTCCCAATTCAATGATCTGATTTAAGGATAGTAAGCAGTTTATACATATTGATAATCTGAATGACTTCGAAAGAAAATGCAACACTCGAAATTTCCCTTGAGCCTAGGGAAGGGCCGGATGCTGCTCAGACCATCGGGGTCGGACACTGCCCCGCCCGACTGATTGTTTCATGTCCCACTGAGTTCAAAGTTGACTGATCGAGCTGTACGACCAAATCTTTAACATTGCCTCATCGTCACATCAACCCACTCAATTTGTTATCAGCCTTCACTTGGAGCAGCATTCAGGAAGGAGATATGTCACTATCCTCACTTGCCACCTTAATCTCAAACTCTGTGGCCACTATCGAAAGAGCTGTAGCAGATGCATCAAAAAGTCGACAATTTCAACAATCTAGACATGGTAGCAGCTCTCGTCCTGCCCCCGTCACTCCTCATGATGTTCTCGAAGCCGTTGATTTGATAGTAGCAGCCTGTGCCGAGCTCACCGCCAAAGTACAAGATAGTACTGGATTCATTTGCAAACATGCTCTTGGGGTATGTCACCGAACGAATTTTGAACTTATACAGGCTTACATCTAGTCTGATAAATTGATATCACCACATCTTTCATGGATCAAACACAGTTCAATGTTTCATCTGCAATTCGAGTGGCCGTCGAAGGTCATATCCCGGAAATCTTGAGACCTCATGGCACAACAGGACTTCACATCAATCAGATTGCGGAAAAATGTGATGCTAACTCAAATCGATTGGAACGAATCCTTCGGCTATTAGTCTCTCATCATATCTTTACCTCACCTAAACGTGGATGGTTTGCCAATAACCGACATAGTCTGGCACTTGATACCGGTAAACTGGCGGAAGAATTGCCCAAAGAGCTGTACGTTCAAATCTCTTGCTTCAATTCCCTTCTAGATACGTGAAAGATGAGATCCGGTGGAGGGGGGGAGATATCACTTCTTTTATTAAGAGTAAGAGAATGAGAACTTTGACAATGGTTGTCAGGAATTCTGAAAAATACATGGGACCCAACACACTTCCAGCCTTAATCACTCATTCAACCGATGAGATGTTCAAATCTTCATCACATTTAACCGAATGTATATTAGAACCTTCAAGTTCAAGATCTTTCTTTGGCGATCAATCTCCTTTTTCTCATGCATTTGAAACTGGAATGGATTTTCAAACCTTTTTACAACTCAGTTTCGATCAGGAGGTTCGCTTGAGGCGTTTCATGTATGTTTCTTTGTAATCGAAAGATCTGTAGAGATAAATGTGAATGCGGACTGATTGATGACTTTGCATTGAATGATATGATCGTCAGCACAGCGACCGAGTGCTTATCGCGAATCGGTGCTAGCGATCAGGGTCTGGGTGCCTACAACTGGGCTACGATAGGTAACGGTACGTCAGAATTTGAAACCCCTCTGAACATATAGGCTGCAGATTACTGATCAAAATATTACCTGTTATGTCGAACCACAGGCTTATTGGTAGACGTGGGCGGTGGAGTCGGACACGTTCCTTTGAGTTTAGCTCGATCTTACCCAAACTTGCGGATCGTCCTTCAAGACCGCGTAGAAGTCATTGCTCAGGCAGTTACGGTCAGCCACAATACTCAAATTCTCACTTAGTTCATGACTTCACTGATAGGTTTGAGTTCCCTGTTTAGTTTTGGCAAAAGCACTTCCCACAAGCTGTGAAATCGAAACGTGTTGTATTGGAAGCTCAAAACGTCTTTGATCCCCAAAAACGTAAGGGAATTCGGGTGTTTTATGTTCGCTTTGTGATTCGAGAATGGAATGATGCTCAGGCTGTTAGGATTCTTACCAATGTGAGTGTACCTCTTAGTACCGTTTCCGTATCATACGATGATGATGCTCAATGACGTATCCTTGATGACGACAGTTATCGAAAGCCTCTTCGTCTTCCACGAAATTGATATTGGTAGAAAGAACTGTTACAAATTGGAGTCAACAGTCAGTAAATGATTGTCCATTACAATCGTGGGAAATTCTGAAAGATGCAAGGATTCCAAGGAATGTCCAATCTTCGTTTTGTCACAATGAAGATCATCCTGCAATTCTGGAAGAGACGGGTCGACCCTTGATCGACTTATTAGATGCACAGGTAAGCATTGTCGTCTGGTATCGTCTTTTATGTGAAATGACTCTGAGATGATGTTTTGATTGATTCAGTTGATGCTATATGGACCCGGTCGAGAAAGAACTTTGGAAGAATTGATTTTACTTCTTCGTGATTCGAATTGGAAAGTGGACAAGATCAGTCGACCAGGTACATCCTCACTTACTCAATTGATATGTGTTCCAATCATTCGACCTGAGGACGAGGAAGAGCCAACTGGAGCATGGCATAAACGACCTTCATCATCATCTGTTGCTCAAGAAGCATCTACCTCTCCTACTTCAAGTCCCCAAAAAGTTAAGTCTGTTCTGGGTAGATTGGACTCGACTTTAAAGGCACAAGAAAAAGAACAAGCTCAAGATGGTCAAGAGGATTTTAGTCCAGAGAATCAAGAGCATGTTACGAAAGATAGTCGAGGGTCTATCAGCCCAGATGACGAAGGTCCTATTAGTCGAGCCGTCGTACCGATGATCATGATCACCAGTGAGGGCGGCACACAAGAGAGCGCTCTGCCGAAAGATTCTGATATTCCGGACCAAGTGAACACAGATTCATCAACTAAGAATGACACCCAAATGGTCGAAGATACACCAATCTCAACTGTCGAAGGGGCCTTGCATTCTAATGAAGCTCCTTAAAGGTCACCTTAATTCTCGATTTCGTTCTCGAATACAAGAAGAGATCATTATAGTGCAGGCTTGTGCTGACTGAATAACAAGACGATCTCAAACAAAAGCCTTATTGACGATTCAAAATTCCTCTACCGATGAAAATATGTATGACCTTTTTAGTTTTTGTCGTTCGCATAGTAGTTAAGTTAAGTTGAAAACTTCCTTCATATTTCATTTCATCTTCCAAGATGTTGTACACCTCTCTCTGATAATCAATATGTAAACGGTATAACAAAGATCATGATATTTTCTTACAGTTTGTTTTTAATGACTTTTTTTTTGTATGATTTCGATTCTGATTTTGTATTACAAGAGATCAATTTATGTTGTAAAGTGTGTCCTCCTCTCTGCTTCATAAAGCGGATTTATTCATCATTCCTTCTTAAAATTGTTTAACAATTGATGTGATTGCGGTTAATGAGAGAGTGGTAGTGGTCAGGACGTATACTGTCGTTTATGTTGGCCAAGCACTGACTGCTTGATTGTTTGCCGGAGTCTATGTTTACATAGTGCCCTGCGGGGAATGTAAGGCGGTTTGAAAGGATAGCCGTTCAGGATATCAATGCCTTTTGTGAAATTTTGACCATATGTTTCATGCTGAAGTAAATACCTTTTGAATAAGAGCATCAGCCGCAGAGCCTTTATTTTACAGGCTCTTGACCATACTGGGGGTGAAAACACCAGAAAACAACTCCATAAGAGTGGGGTTCAAGTTGGTCAAAAAGTACCTATATGGTTATGCAATTTGGCCTCCAAGCCCTTCAAGTTTTTCTTGAGCTTTCCTTTTGCTAGGAATGCGATTCTCATTTTTCAAAACGAAATTTTCAAGTGCAATCTCTATGCGGGGACAGTTGTCTTGTAGGCATTTAACAGAGAAAGCTTCCAGCCATTGGTGATTCATTCTTGCACTTCTTATCGAGGTTCCTCTTCTCGCCTCACGAGTAGTCAAGGGAGTACTATAGATCTTGCTGCTTAACCACACCTCATGGCCTACATTTCACTGCGGTGTGATTGTCGTTCTTCTTCGTGGATTAAACATGAGAAGTTTTCGATTCGCGTTAGTCAGCTCATCAACGATCACACTCTGTGGTAAACTTGTGTACCCGTATCGCACCATATGATCACGGACAAAGCTCTCACCATGTGATCAAACCAGAAGCCCTGCTGTAATGAACAAGAGGCCCAAGTAAGCGGGGTCAAAGATGAAGTACTCAAATGGGAAAGACTTTGTTGTTCGGCTCAGCAAGATTATCGAGAGCGAGGGAACAAGTCCTACCCAAATATGTTGCAGAGTAGGTGCCTGAAATCCCATTCGGATGTCTTGAATGAAATTTAAGTGAATGGATGTTTGGATCCGTATCAAATCCATCAAATCCCCTTGAAGGAGTTCATTTCTCAGTTCCTCAAATAGATCATGTGCTGAAGCCTTCATGATGTTCAAATTTGGAAAATTTGTTCGACCACAAAGCGTTTCAAATTAGACTTCAGGCTCAGTGTGTTAAGCTCAATCCTCGGTTGGTTCCTTGATCAATTATTATTATTAGTGATTTTGAGTACATTTGAGGTTTCTTTTCTGATTTCCTTGGTTTATCGATTTCTTGGTCTGTTTCAATTATATCCTACTTATCTTTTCCACAATGGCCCTCCAGTAAGCTTATCCAATTTTCATGTTGATGCATCAGTGTTTTGGATAATCCTTGCTCGTAGAAGTTTACTGATTGAGGTTTCTATCTTCTTAAAGGTCATATACATCTGAAGTTCGATTGACATTAGTTAACACCGATGCAGAACTTCAACTCGGCAAATCGATTGCACGTTATGGATTATTTGATTTTTTAGATAGTGATAGATCTAACTCAAATCTTTTATCAATCGTAGAATCACATCTTCCCATAGATATAAAAGATAAAGTAGTAGATTTAATTTCAAAACGACAAGTTCAATCAAAGCAATCAAAGCAATCTAGTAGTACTAGTAGTAATGGTAATGGATGGAAAAAAGATTTACTTCGAAGGATTTCATTTATCTTACCAAACTTACCAAATCCGATTCAAACTATTGGATCTGTTTTAGGATTACAAGCAACTGTTCTGCTTAATAGTTTAAAGATTTTAGGATCTCATGATATTTGTACTGATTCAAGTTGGGGTTCAACAACAGTGAAGACTAAAAGTTTTCATGGTGATTTAGCAGTACGTACCATATAAAGTTATCTTTTAAAGAAACCTTTCACTTATTACACCTCTTAATTGACCATTTTGATGTTTGATTAGTGGTCAACTAGAGTTTCAATCGGTTCACCACCACAAGACTTTCATCTAAACATCGATTCAGGTTCAGCCGATCTATTTCTATTCTCACCAAACTGTACAACCTGTTCACTTTCAAACCACACAGCCTATCATCCAAACCAATCCAATACATTTACATGTCTTGATGATCCCAAAGAGTTTTCTCAAAGCTTTGGTGATGGATCAACTCTCAAAGGTAATCTTGCTTCAGATATCGTCACTTTAGGTAACTCAATTCGAGTCAAAAATCAAAGTTTTGGTTTAGCTACTAAGATTTCTTCAGATTGGAATCTTTTACCTATTGATGGTTTAATGGGTATCGGTCCTGAAAGTCTTACAATCTTTAATGGTACCAACTCAACTGGTTTCTTTCGTCAATTGGTTAATAGTCAAATGCTTGCTTTACCTATCATTGGGATTGCGTTTGTGAGTCCTAGAAATGGTGATCATTTACCTAGTACTACTGCTGGTGAATTTACTTTTGGAGGTGTGAGTGAGAAATGGATTAGAGGTGGATTTGGAAATTTAGCTTGGAAAAATGTTACAAGTACGAATTTTTGGTGAGCTATAAAGAATTTGAATTTGTGAATCGAGTTTTTCTTTATGAGAAGCTTCTAGGAGACTTTTAATGAGAATAAAGAACTTGAAGCTTCATAAACTGAACCTATTTTTTCTGTTAGGGGAGTGGCTTTAACTGGTATCTTTGTCAATGGAAACAATGTCATGTCATCACAAGATACACCTCGCGCAATCATAGACACTGGTGTAAGTTTTTTTTCTTCTGCAATGTTTATCAACATGTTCATTCCATCACCAGTCTCAGACCAACTAGAATCCTAATTTTACATCTACTTACTATATGGGCTAAAGACCTCATTGACAATAGTCTCAACACCTATTGCAGCAGCAATCCACCAAAGCATTCCAGGAGCAATCATGAATGAATCAAATGGGATATGGAAAGTACCATGTACGATCCAAAACCAAGAAACCGTTCAAGAATCTTACATTTCAAATCATTCTATAAACCAAACCTTGACTTCATCATCACCTAATATATTTTTTGAATTCGGGATCGGAAGTGCTCAATTCGGGATTCCTGCTGAATCTTTGGCTTACCAAGAAGTCACCAAAGATTCTAGATTATCCATTGATGGGTTATGTTATAGTGGTATTCAAGCTGGAAGTAATGAGTTTGTGGTCTTGGGTGATACTTTTATAAAGGTTGGTCATTCTTTTTTTGGATTCATGATCTGATTCTCTAATGTGTTATTGATGATTGAATCTTTTTTTGATGATGATGATGAATCTCTTACACAAATCATAGAATCAATATCTTGCTCTACGTTATGATGCTAACGGACAAAGATCAGTTGGACTAGGAAAACGTACTGATTTACCTACTTTCACTTAACTTGTGTTTATGATTCATACATAAAACTGTTGACATTTGGGTTTACTTTTGACTTTGTAATTTAATTGATGGACTTGATTTCTTTTTCCTTTTTCGAATTATACTCATGTGATCATATATATATGCTCAGTTTTGATTTATCAACATACATTTTTTTTGGGTTGTTTTGGGAAAGAAATTTTTTATCACATTTCAGTCAAAGAAATCCTGAGTGTTAATTGCCCTTGGAATCTTGATGGGCATCCACGGACCACTGGTATTTGTGATAGCAAGGTCTCATAATGATCAAGTTCAAGTTTATAATATATTTCATAAATTCTCGCATCGCTTCGAGGGCTGTATAAGGCTTTGTGAGATGGTAACATAGTATTTTGAATACATTTGATTGTTGGCAACAAAGGGTATTTGACTTTGGTTGCACAAATTGATAACATTGAATAAAATGACATCCATGAATGATATGGGTTAATCAAATTACATTTTATCCATAAATCTGAGCACGTGTTTCAAGTTGAATTCGATCAGTTGCATTCCAACTATCAGGTTCTTTTGAATTCCACTGATCAGCTTTCACCAAACTTTCATCCCAATAACCTAACCAAACGCAAAAACATATTTCAATCAGTCATCACAAATAAATCAAACTTATGATTCATGTCAAGCTTGGTTTTCCCATCAAACTTACTTTGATAAGCTTTTGGTAAAAGTTTAATGACTTCTAGAGCAAGAACTTTAGCATCAAGTCTACCATCACCTTCTGCCACATAGATTAATAAAGAATTAGATGTTTCTAATTTAGATATCAAACGTCTTGAAAGACCACCAGCTGATAAGATTGGAACGTCTTTTGGAATCGGATTTGAACTTTGATCAATCAAGGATGTAAAGTTTTGTAATAACCTATCACGTAATTCTGTTGGATCGGTTCCATAAGTTAATTGAAATAGATTAGTAGGATGGTTTAGATGATTATCAGTTCGGGTAGCTGAATCTATTGAGATTAAAAGTAAAACTGATGAAAAGTTTTGGGATTTGATCCATTTAGATAATCTTGAAATATGAATTTGTTTATCAGACTAAACCCAAACCCAAACCAAAACCAAAAGAAAGATCAATTAAGAGTTTTGATAAGATGAAGATTAGGGTTTCTTTACTTACTTTTAAGACAGGTGAACGTTGTTGAAGAATAGTGATGGAATGATCTATAGTTTGATAAACTTCAAATGGACGGATATTCGAATCTGCTAGAATTGGAATATGATTTGATGGATCTAGATTTCCAATTCTTTTAAATGAAGTTGATTGAATTAAAAGATCTATGGCTAATTGTGGTACATTTCCAAGTGAAACGATTGGCTAAAGATTCCAATTTCAAGTTTGATTAGTTGAGTGTTTCCTTTTGTTTTAGATTGAGAATCATTGGATCTACATACTACTGACTAGGATTAAGATTGAGTTTTGAAAGATTGATGGGTTGGATGGTGGGATTGGATAAAAGTAAGTTTCTTTGTCTTGGATGGCATTCATCTTGATGGTCAAGTTGGAAACAGAAAAACAATCGAACCAAAACAAAACAGGAGAAGTACAAACTGCAAAGGGCGCGCACCAAGTAAGGCACGCGCACATGTCATTTCTCACACACTCTTAATTAGATTATGATGGGGTTTGAGCGGAACAACAATTGAAGCTTTGCTGAACTCTTTCAAACAAACCTTTGGAACTAATCACTCTAAGCCTTTCAGGAAGGCATTGGATCTGTTCAGGATCTCCAGACTCTTCACACCTTTATTGCGCTCAAGGAGCATAAATATATGTCAATCTATGTAACATACAACATACATATCATCTTGGTATCTTTTTAACCATCACTTTCTTGTAGTTTAGATTTGGTTGGTGATATGATTAACCATGATGTTCCATATTTACCTGTGTCTTGAAGTGATCTTGAAGTTAGACTGGTGTTACTGGGAAAGTGTTCAAGTAATGAAAGAAACAAAAAGTCGTGGACCTGGTAGCCATTGAGATAGACTGTGTATTAGAATCAAATTACACCATCACTTGAACTGTAGAGCATGATGAGGAGCTAAAGGAACTAGAGTGAGCTAGATTCTAGAACATGACTGATGAGATTTTTGTAGAGAACTGATGAGGATTGATGAGGATGTGAATGGTTTCAACTCTCTTTATCACGTGTGTGGAATTGACAGCTTGTAGAATTGAAAACTTAAATACAGCATGTGTATGTAGAGGTATTGCATGTATGTAAAGCCATACAGTTCACTTCATCTCACTCATGACTTCTCACTTCTCACTTCAACCACAAGAAATCAATTCACCATCAGGAACTTGATCTAAGACTTCCCTTTAGTTGTCAGTCATCAATTTGACTTTCTTCTCCAATTGCATTCTGAAATAACCTGACCCTTTTATCACTTTTCAAACTTATCCTCAAGTAGATGCCTCCTAGACGTGTACCAGAAAACCGTACCAATCAGGAATCTAATGATCCTCTCATGTCTCACACTCATTATGAACAACAACCAACCGCTTCATCATCTTCAACTCGTCTGTCCGATCAATCCGATCCATCATCTAATCATGTCCTACCATCTAGATACTCTACACGGCAGATCAAGACACGCTCAATGACCGTTAACAAAACAGCTCCTGTCGTTGCTTTTGGTGGCACTGTACCCCAACGAGACCCAAGACCAATCACTGGAAAGAAACTGCTTCCATCAAATGCCAGTAATCGTATCATTGACACGTCCCTTGAAAAACCAAATCCCCGACCCACCATCATGAAAAACGCTCAAAATCCCAAGACAAAGGCTACCAAGCCTATCAAGTCAACACAGGCTGTTTTTGATAATGATTCTCACGCGTCAGTGGGCAGAAAAACAAACAGGCGGGCAAATGATGAGATCAAAGAGAATCTTCCTCATACTAACCTTCATCATGCCCCTGCTTCATCACATCATAGGACGCGTTCTTGTACCGCAAGCTCATCCAATTCACAGCTGAACTCGGCTCCGGAAGAAGCTCCTGATCCATCCTGTCCCTCTACCAAACTCACTTCAGATTCGACCCATGCACCGGATTCGCTACCCCCTCCGCAAGCCTCATTCCCACCAACTGATGTTCCATCATGTTCCAGCTCCAACTTGGAACTCCCGAAGTGCCCCCCGAGCGTCGTGAATCAAGAACAGCCCATTCAGCGCCCCATGGTTCAGCCAAATAGGTCTATTTCAACACATAGGCAGGCGGTACAACCTTCTTTGCCGTCCAACAAGCGTCTATTTGCAGAAATCGATGATAGTACCAACAAAAACCTATTCTCCTTTCTGGATACCAAGAACAAGTCGAATCTGAAAACCTCCAAGCTTCAAACCCGACCGTTCTTCAAGGGTGCACAACCTCTCGCAAGTCAGAGAGCCGGACCGTCTAATAAGCCTGATCAGCTTCCAAAAGTGCGCCGAAAATTAGCCACAAGTAATAAACTTCAGACTCTACAGCCTTTGAAGAAAAAATCTCGGCTCAATTCCCCATACTCAAAGTCAAAAGTTACAAATCCTACACCATCAACATCTCAAAATCCAAGCTCAAGTCGTATCTCAGTTAATGCCCAAGCCGAACAGTCTCGACCCACACTCATTCCTGACGAGCCAAAACAGTCTATCTTTGACGAGCCAAAACAGCCTATGACTAATGAATTGAAACAATCTGTCCCTGACGAACCCCAACAGTGTATTCCCTGCAAACCCCAAGCACCGCTCGCAACGTTGAAAGCATCAGTACCCAATTCGTACACATCCAAAACAAGCTCACTATCCACCACAATTTTCAATGCATCCTTTGTACCTCCATCAATTGGAAGTTCACTATTACCTCTACCTAGACTTCCAAACACACTGAGTTCCAATTCCGCACTAGACTCTAATTCTACCTCTGTCTTCTTGAGTCCTCTACGGCCTTCCAAGAATACATTTCCCTCACAAGTAAAACTTTCCACCAACCTAGAATCACCTCTCAAAAGGACATTTGAAGGAACTTCGATCTCTCCAGCTCCAGTTATCGTTCAAAGTAAAAGCCAGAACGGCGAGTCTGAAGAGGAAACGAGCGCTGATGCCATTGACTTTCTGAGTCCGAAGAAACGGAACAAGCTTACTCCACTTGATATGGATTCTCCTACCGTCTCTCACCTTGACAAGATCGAACCAAGTCCAATTTCTAATTTACCAAAGGACGATAGCACGACGGAAGAAGACCGTGCGACGCCCAGTGTTGCCACTTTTACTCTTCCTTCTCCGCCATCTTTCATACCAACCACAGATACCAACGCCTGCCCGTCCTCGATCACTACAGAGCAATCACGATCACCCGATCCCAATGTCACAAACCCTAACGTTGAACCAACGCATACGGAACCAGAGGCATCGGCTTCTCAGCTCTCACAGAGCGACAATACACAATCACCTATTCAGACCCGTCCTTCAACACCTACTTCTGATCTCGAGTCCGATGCGACGAATCATTCTCCCAAGCGAGGGATACGAACTTTTCAGCCTATCAGGACCAGCCCGATCAAGGAGGCCACCATGCCTACCTCTATTCCCATCTCACCATCTCAAATCACTACCGAGGTTCCGAAATCTGAACCTGCCAAGCAGAATCTCAATCCTTTTCAAACAGCCCCACAGCCTATCAAACCATCTACAACACCACTCACTGGACAGATTCCCACTAGGCCATCGATGTTACCTCGAAGGACATTGAAATTCACTCAACCTGCTTCATTGAGTTTAGATGCGATTGTAGAAAATTCACCGGCAAAACCTTTAGCACGGGATGCAATGAGTAGTTCATCTTTGATCTTTCGAGAGGTAATAATGTACCACCTAAAGTGATCTTCACAGGTGGAATCAAGGCGAAAGCGAATGAATTCTATAATCGTCAACACGCTTTTCTTAAATCTAGCGGTAACTCTTCAACGCTTGGTCCATCATCAAGCTCCACATCAATTGAAGAAGTCGTTGAAAAGACGACGGAAAAGAATGATGGATCTGATGTTCAAGAGGATTCGTCGGAAGCAGTAGAAGATGAAGAAGTGGAAGATGGATGTGGAGATCAGTCTGCTAATAGTATTTCTACTAATCAATCTATTGAATCATCCACTAGTAGTAGTACTACCAGCTCTGGCAATATGTCACAAGAAACTCAAGAGCGCTTAACGAAATTACAAGCGATGTTGACCCGAATGAATTTACCACGTGAAAAGGAATCTGGATTAAAGACAAGTGATCGAGCGACGGGTGAGTTTACAGAGTATGAAGTTCCATTGAAGGATGAATCAGATTCGACTGGATCAAGATCGAATCCAAGAAGAAGATCAGTTTCAGTTTCATTAAGTTCTTCTAATGGACCTCCCAATCATACGGGTAATCGACTTAAAAGTAGAGCTTCCTCTTGTGGATTAAAACAACAATCTGGTAGTTCATCACTTAATCGTAGAGAGAGTCATATCTTACCTACTTCTCATATCGATTTACAATCATCTGGAATCAGTGGTCAGGCTAGTACATCTAATGGTCATATAAACAAAACTTTGGGTGGAATGTCGTCTAAGCGATTGGTAGATGAGAGAAATAAAAAGGTTTTACCTTTGAAAGATGTGGTGGCTTTAGTAGACGTACGTACTGCTGAAGGAGATGATGCGGGTAAAGTGTTTGTAGAAATGTTAAAAGGATTAGGAGCCAAGGTAAGATGATCAAAATCCTAAGAAACCTAAAGCCTAGTCTAAAGGAGTGACTAAAAACACGTGAATTTTCTTTTCGAATCTTTCTAGGTTCATCTTCGACCTACGATTCCTCTTACCCATATAATCTTTAAAGCAGGAAAACAAACTACAATAGACAAATGGTTAATTCATCCTAAACCGAAACCTAATCTAGTGGGAATCGGATGGGTAGTGAGGTGTCGAGAGATCTTAGGAAAAGCAAATGAAACACCTTATATCATTGATATTAATTCAAGTACGGCACCTATGATGAATGAAATGGTGAATTTGAGTAAAAGCGTAGGTCTTAGTACTTCACTTGGAGTAAGTAATCGTAGGAAAAGTATGGAACCTAAGGCTTTGGCTTTATTGGGACATGGTCTACAATTAAATCAATCACAATCTCGTGGGAATCTTAATGAATCTTGTAAAGGTTTGTGATCTGTTTTTTGGATTCTTTTTTGGATCAATGAATTGAATCTGATGGGGGGAATGATTTTGATTTTTTTTTCTTGGATTTGAATTGGGGTTTTTAAGGTCAAATTGAAAATGAAGAAATCGAAAAATCAAATCAAATTGCAGTTTCGATTGAAAAAGTTAGAAGGAAATCATTACAATTCTTACCTAAAGGTTAGTCGTGTTTCTTTAAAACTTATTGAGGTTTCTTTCTTTATTGAAATTCGAAATTGATTTGGTTTGGGTTGGGGGTTTGTTTAGTTGGAAGTCCTCTGGGAAAAGGAGTTTATGTGGCTGATGGAGAAGGAGAAGGAGAAGAGAAAAAAGAATAAGATGATTCGGGTTTGGAACTTTGGATCAGTAAAGATCTTGTGAGTTTTTTTTACAAGATCTTCTTTTTTTAGGTTCATTTGGTAGGAGGATGTTTTGTGTTATTTTTTGATGATTTACTTTACCTCATACGATTTCTTTCGTTCAATATACACACACGTGCTTTTCGTTTTGGTTTTCTTAAGATGTATTAATGGTTTCTTTCCTTTAAGTTATATATCCAATTCTAAACTTAAATTGAAGTTTTTCTTTTTCTTTTTCTTTTTTTGATTCCTTTTCTCTCTCTCTCTTTATACACTTGAGATGGAATCTTTTTAAAAAATTGATGGTCGTTAAATACACGAATAAAATTAATAAGATTAGAAAAATTAGATGGACAGTTGATGGTTTTCTACTTTTTTTTTTGAATGAATGAAAGTTTGAATGATATAATTGAAAAAAATCAACACTCCTTTTTTTTTCTTTTGATTAAATTAAATTGTTTTGTTTTTGTTGATTGGGTTGGTTTGCATTGAAGGTTTTTGGTTTTGTTTTCTTTTGTAAAAAGTAAAAAAAAATTGTGATGTGAATGTAGATTGTTTTTTTTCTTTGTAAAGTGTTTTTTTTCTTTCTTGTGTATATGTTTTCAAGTGTGTGTTTGGGGGGGATTAGATTGGTTTAAAAAAGGTTTTTTGAAATTTGAACTAAAGGTTTGGTTTAAAAATTGGATTTGTTGGATGAAGTGTTTTTAGAAACTTATGAAATTGCTGTGAGAAAACTTGGCACAATCAAATAAAGGTTTACTAACCTATTTGATTGTTGAGAGTTTGATTGACTTCTCTTGCACATCATGATATTGAGTATGTTTGGTCATCAGAAAATCAATTGCAAGTTGAACCAAGGAACATCCCCTTACCAGATCATCCAACAATACCCTTCCGGAAGCTTGTTTGTTCAACGATTGCTTCAATGCCAGACAGCCTTATGTGGCCAACCCTTCCTGTAAAGATATTGGGGACTCAAACTACATTATGGCAACATTGAATGGATTCATAGATCCAATTCTTTACGGAAATCTGGACAAACCCCTGACCTGCAGCACAGTGACCTGTGTATAAACTGTGGGTGTGCTGGTCACCAGCACATTGGAATTTGCCGAAAAAACCACAGTGCTGTTTTGCACCGCAGGGGCCTGGACCTGACCTACATGCCAATAGATCTGCCAACGGCTTCAAATGAAAGATGATAATGTCAGCTTTTGATTGGCTACATGTGTAAACACACTCATCACTTTCAGATTGGATGAATGTGATGATAAGAAGCATGCTTTTAAATTTGTTGTTCTACTCATGAGCAGATTGTTTGAGGCCAGATAATGCTTGAAAAAGTTCCACCACCTTATTTTCATCACCCAGCTTGACATAACCTTTGGGTTGCTCCCTGTATACTTTCTCCTTCACCACAGAATTCAAGAAAGCAGCAACAGTGTACATGCCATGGCCTTCCTATCTATGACGAGCTGCTATACACACAATAATTCAATAAGAAGCTGGTTTAATGGGGTGCATACATTTTGTCACAATCTGTCCCAAATGTCTGAGTAAATCCAATCTGATTGATTGGTTTGAGAAAGAGTGGCTTTTTGGAGACCAGCAATGAGATCAGGATGAACCAGTTGTTGCCATCAATGATATCAAAAACAAAGTGCATGTCAATTGAGTTGGTGAGCTTCAAGTTCTGGTGACCACACAGGAAAACGTATGAGCCAGAAACTGTGAGAGGAAGAAAGCTATCACATCAGTGGAAGATGGACTTAGAATTTGATGATGGGTGATCAATTGACAATGGTTCCGGATTAGCTCCAAATTCTGGACATCAAACATCAACAATGATGTTGAGCTGGTTTGAGAAGTGTCTCAGGTGAGGGTGGTTTGAGAGGGACCAGGCAGGCGGCAATGGTTTAAGGTTGGGACAACTTTCAAAAGGCACTGGTCATCCTTCTTCTGGGATATTCAGACTGGGCAGTGAGCACAGCAGGGACTTTATCAGCCTCAAAACCATCTTCATCCACACTTGGGAAACATTCATGACTGGAAGTTTAAATTGATACTTGGACTGAGAAACAATGGCTGTAACATATAATTTTTACTAAACCAGCTGATCTACTTGAGATTCCTCCACATAAATGTGATGCTGCCACATGGTGGTCATACAAAATCAATTGCCATACAACCAAAGGACTTCAGAAACTCTGAAGTAGCCTCTATATATTGGGTAAAACATTCCTGCAGTAGGAATCATAAAACCTGTCACTTCTGCTGCCCTAAAATTCACCAGTATGGGACTTCAAGTATTCTTTAACAAGATTAAAAATATAAGGAATAAAATACATATTAATGACTCTTTTTATTTGGTGTTAAACCACCACATTACCCTTTCCAACATCTTGAATAAATTTCAAACAGAAACGAGAGCAACACAGCTTCCATTTGAAAAGCTGTCCAAGTGAATTCTTCAATTCTGAATCTGAAGGATCCTTGAACCATGATTTCAAAAGTGCTGTTAGATATCTCATTGAAATTGGAGTGTTTGCAGGTGATTTTGATTGAATACAGAGGGCTTGGAATGAGTTTCTTGGGTCAATACCTAATCTCCCTGTTCTTTCATCCCATGATATCAGCTTTGAACCCTTAGAAAAAATCAAATTTCCACCTTCCTCAAAATTTAGATCCTTCCACTTTGAAAATTGCTTTTGAAGGAATTCCCATCCATTTTCAATGAGAATGTTCAACTGGGTTTCTTTCAAACGGTTTTCATAGACCAATCTTATCATTCCAATAAAACCCACTGTTATTCTATACTCTGCAATACTGGCAGCCTTGACAATTGTTTCCATAATTAACTCATTTTCATCTATGGGCTTGGGTGCCACATTATTGGGCAAGTGAAGCTGCTCAGTTGAATATGAATCAAGTTGATTGCTAATCTTATAGTTCTTCAGTAAGTCTATAATCAAGTCCACAAAGAAAACATGAACCTTTTGACACATTTCAATACCCACAGGTGAAAGGAACCTGGCAGACTTGGATAATGACCTGCATTCTTCAATTTTACGTCTCTCTGAGGATTTTGGTGCCAATGGATGTTTCCTTAGACCACTTTGAAAGTTGATCTCCTCATATTCAAGATTACCAAATCCTGCTCTTGAATATAATCCACCACGAATGAACATCATGTCTTTATCATAGAGACTCTTGACTTCATCATAAAGCTTCTTTCTATCAACTGCTGGCATCACAAATATGTTTTTTGTCTCTCTATTCCATCTCACTACAATTGAATCTAGAACTTTCAGTGTCATGGATCGTGCTTTGATTAGTTTGCTGAAGTATCTGAACATATATGAAGGATCTAGGTGATCACTGGTTTCAGTCCTTGTGGTACCTGTTTGACCCTTCATAGACTTGATTTCCATGTGCCTCCATTGATCAAAGACAGTTTGCATGAACTGAAATCCACGCTGCACCATCTCTTCCAGTGATATCTTGGTTGATTCAGGCTTGTACTTTAACAGGATAAGACCAAAAAACGCTTTTGCAATCCATTGGTCTGCACATTCAATTGCTTGATGCACAGCCTTTTGCAACATTTCATCTTGCCCTGAAATCCCAATCATATCTTCCCTGAGAATTTTGAACCAAGTAGGAAATGTATAAGAAAGAGCAGGAGAATTTGCCACATGAAATGCACCTATATCCCTCAGCATCATCAACATGCTCTCTCTACGCTTCATGGATTCCTCTTCAGGTGCTTCCTTGATGCCTTTTGACACACTTCCTGGAGTGTCTGGTGTTGAAATTGGGTTTTGGTTCTTTCTGGTCCCTACATATAAATTGAAGTTTTGTGCAACTGACATGGACGGAGAAGGCTTTGAAATATCAAGCACTCCTTGAGATTGCCTCACCTCTTGTTTCTTGGTTTGCTTCTTTCTTGGATGTGTTATTGTTTCCAGACTTCCAATCTCTCTGTTTTGATCAATTGCTGAATGACCTCCTTTTGTGACCATATATGTATCCCCTTCTTTACCTGACAACCTTTTCTTCCCTTTCAATGATTCTATCTGGGTTATCACTGGCTTAAAAGAATCCAATACAGCAGTAGTTGTGTAAATTTTCCCTGAAGTCTCAGCTTGACTTCCAGTAGTCGTATATGTGTTTCTGTGTCTGTTGAGTTTCTCCATATCCATATCCAACTGTCTTGTGATATGGTCTTGCAAAGGACACTGAGTATATTGAAAAATCTCGGAGGAGGGTGTATAGGTCCTTGGAGAGGTCAAGCCTGATAAATTAGATCCAGCACCACTGTGTGGAACTCTTGGAGGCAGATAATTCAGACTGGGATATCCTAGGTGATCCCATTCTATTGATGGTGTTCCCTGTGCCATGTCAGTACTTGGAAGCACCCCTTCATAATTTTTCATAGGGTGAGAATTTGTCTCCTGATACTGGTTCAGTCCTGATGTTAATGGGCCACTTTGCAGTCCTATCATCCTGGGTGGTACTTGGCTTTCTGGACCAAGAGATAAGGTTTGATGATGTTCAAAACCATCCAGATTTGTGGGTTTATATAGGTTTTGGTGACCATGGGGATCATCCTTAAATGCATAATTTGAACCATCATGAGAGGATATTGTGCCAGTGTCCATGGGTGAAGCCACATGAGAACCTGATCTTTTACCAAGGTATGAATTCTCATTTTGATGATAGGTAGGCCAAGTCATTGGTAAAACTGGGACATCCAGCTGTTCTTCAAACCAAGAGTTGGTCAATTGTTGTGTAGCTGACCCATGTGAGTAAAGATCATCAGTACACCAATTTTTCATCTCTTGAGACCAGTCAACATCATGGAGTGGAGAGTTTTGCTGGTCTGTGCCTAGTCCAGGACATAATGCAGGATTTTCTTGGTAGAGCCCAGAGTTAAGCCACAATTTTCCTTCTATCAAGCTGTCTGTCTTGTCTGAAGGTGTAGGTCTTGCTTGAAGAGCCCAGGCTGGTGGTAGCATATTCATGAAGAAGATCATCCTCCATGGGGGAAATAGCTTTGGGATCCATGAAGTTACTGGGGGCATAGGTGGTAGTTTGAGAGAAATGGGTGTATTGGGACTATTGATGCTTAGGTGGGAGAAAAGAGGATAATGCAAAGCTATATATATTTGAATAACATAAAAAACCCACAGGTGATAAAGGTAATTGCACAGCTGCATCTGAGGAGTGTTATAAAAGATGTACATACTGAGAGATTATGCAAGACCTCTCCACGAGGGATTACTTAGATCAAGTGTGTCATGTTGTGAGACAAATTCCACATCAGCTCCGACACTAACATACAGCTCTCAACTATGATTTCGGGGGTCTCAAACTCAAAGTATCATCTTTCTGGTATCTCCCCCGTGCATGTATGTCAACATGTTCTTGAGATGCTTGACGACTCTCGCACATATTGTTCCATAATTGATGAAATGAGTAGAAATCGAGGCTTGCCGTGTTTACAGGGTATCAAAATTACGAACGTCTTTTTTGGTATATATCAACTGCATCATATATAGTAATCTTACATATCATTTATTACCTGTCTACAAACCCGGATGGAAAACTCTCCAGAAGCAAGAAAAAAAAGCACATCAAGATTCATAACTCATTGGTCACTCTTCTTCAGATTGTGGTTCATCAGCAACACTGATCACTCCTCCTTTACCGACGGTACGTTCTTCATCAACATTAAAATTTGTAAATTGTTTTAGTCGATCACGGAATCCACTTCGAACTCCATTATTGGTCGTGAGATCCCAGATTTGTACCGATGCTTTAGATCCAGCTACAGCAATTGTTGCTGGTTCGTCTGGACAAAAGCTTACTGAAAATACCTTCCCCTGTTCATAAACGACCAGTCAACAAGATATCAGATCAATCTAGGAAAAGGAAAGATGTTTCATAAACTTACAACTCCCAAGTCTCGACTCGTGACCATACTGAGGCTAGGCTTTCCCTCCTTTTGATCAATATTCCATACCTTTACCATCTTGTCCACTCCACCAGTGACCATCAATCCAGGAATTGTTGAACTTATGTCCAACGCCGAAACCGAAGAATCATGAGCAGAGAGCGTCCAGAGTGCCTTGCTACGATCCTGAACATCAGTAGCTTTATTTCCAAATTTGGGTAACATGCGCGAGTCGTAGGATTGGATGAGACCGTTGTCAAGAGTGACAAGGAAGACAAAGTCTTCAAAGGGATCCCAACGAAGACACTCGACATCTGACTCGACTTTCACTCCTACTCCTTCTGTACAATTACGACTATCCCAGATCTTGATCAACCCATCCCAACCACCACTCAAGACTACCGTTGGTTGCTTCGGGTTCCACTGAGCAGACTGTACCTTGTCCTTGTGTAGATCAAAACTTCTGATGGCCGTAAATGTCGAGGCGGGTGACATAGGCTCGACATTAAGATCCCAGAGCTTCACCGTAGTGTCGGCGGAAGATGATAGTAAAAGGTTTCGAACCATCCGATTATGGGAAAGTGATAAAATTGAGGAGGTGTGATGCGTAGGGGATATTAGACTGGTGGGAGCGGTGAGCGAATTACTGGCGGCTTTCTTTTTCTTTTTCTTCTTCTTAGAAGCTTGCTGAGCCGGCTCTGATATCTCGTCTGCTTTGTCGTCCTCATCCGACTTGACTTTCTGTCGGTTCGTCGCGCCCAAGATTGCGTCAGGGTAAAGTCCATCGATCACATCCAAGCTCCAAATTTCGATTTCGGGATCCATGGTACCAACAGCCACAAAGTTGCCTTTCCGGTTGGGGTCATCGGTATGGATACCAGCTGGGGTGAAATCGATCCATTCGAGACATAATGGCATGGCAGGCAGAAGCAAATCGTGATGAATATAGAAATTCTCTTCTGATGCGTCATAGACGTATACGTCGAGCTGTGAAACATCATCCTGCGTCTTAGCTGAGACTAGAACAGAGTCCGTAGGGTAAATCTCCAATTCTTCTCGCTCAAGCTCGTCATCTTCTGCCAACTGAGGTGAAGAAATAGTAAAAAAACTCGGCATCAGCACACGAATCAAAGAGTACCTTTTGCCGATAGCAGTGACCTACGTACGTCGTTAAGAGTCACATATGGATCATCACTCGGGTTATCGTAGTATTGTAATCCTTTGACATTACTAAAGACACCCATCGAGACGCTTTTTGTTGTTTCTTGATCATAAGTTTCTAAGTCATACTCAGCTAGTTCATCTGTAATTTTTTCGACTTTCTTGTCATCCGATACATCTTCCATCTCAACATCCATAGCTTCAGGTGCATCTTCTTCTTCACTTTTTTTGGAGGATAACCAAGGAAAGATTAGAGACTTTTCTCTGTTAATGAAGTAAACAAAGATTTACTTACTCGGTCCAATCTTTATCTCCATCTTCACCCTCCTCTTTTTTGTTATCTTCGTCATCAGATTCACCTCCAATCATTTCATCAATGTCAACTTTCTCCTCCTCAAATTGAGCCTGTGCGAGTTCCTGCTTGACTTGTTCTAGTCTGTCTCCGGCCATTTGGGTCACTCGCTCCATTTCTTGCTCATTCAGATCGTATCTTCGAGGGAACTGAGCCGCTACACCCTTTCGGATCCATATTGTACTCGAGATCAATGAGGCCATCGTGGTTCGTATTTGACTTGGTACTTTGTGTTCTTGAGTTTAAGCTCTGAAGATGTTTGGTGGCAGATCGGCAATTTTTTTGGACAAATTTTTGGCCCTCAACCCAAGTCACATGATCTGAGTAACCTAATTACAAGTAACAAGATCTGTATGTACATAGAAGTGGTTTAGGTCTTTCACAGATTTTTGTTCCATTCGCGTGTTTCAAACCTTCAAAGTCCACTTCTCTTTGATATCCATCACCCCTTCTTTCGTTGAGTAATCCTTTCCAAGTCCTGAACATGAAGACCGCGGCTGTGGACTGGCAAGAAAATGACTCAGACTTTTCAGACCTCGACGGACAATCTGATAATGAATCAAGTTCAAGTTGTAACCACAAAAAGCAATCTGATTATATTCTTGGTTTTGAGGATGGCCCTATGAGCCGCGTCTCGGATCAGAGAGACTGGAACCTTTCGCGTCTCGCTGGCTTACCAGTGCGTGATGTCCTTTGCCTTCAATACCGGAGTTCATCTTGGCTGTGTTTTGATTGAGCCATCGATGTGGGTGTATGTTTTCAGGCCCTACTACCTTTGAAAAAGGAGATCAACGGCTGCGAGTTCGATTGTAGAAATTGTGGTCAATCGCTTTACCTCATCTCGCAAATCTATTGCCCTCATCATCTGAAGGATGCATATGATCGAGTTCTTTATCTTTTTGGATGTGCTTCTCTGTCCTGTCAGGCCCACCCCATGAAGTCTTCCTCTCCACATCAATGGCAAGTCAAAAGAACGAAATCGTCGCCATATGGAGAGCTTGCTTACACCTAGCCTCGTTTTATAGCATCAGAGCATTCAGGTCCTGGAAATTGAATGAAGCATATATGGAAAAGATGAAAAAAGAGAAAGAACCAGATTGGAGGACTACCTCGTTGAACGAAGAAAATCCATTCAGATTGGTACTTCAAATCACATCTCCGCTGTCCTTCACGTATCACCTGAGTTTCGTTCTTACCTCTTCCTCATACGGCATTTGAAAGAACAAGGACACGAACAGTTCCACATCCGGGTCCAATCCATTTGCTACCGGTCTCTTTGACTCTGAAGATCTTTTTTCCTGGCCGGATTCAACGCCCACCGAAGAAACTTCCTCCACCGAACCCTTGGCTGACCGTAGCCCATCGGAAAAGACTGCTCTCGACGAATCCGCCGATTCAGAGAAGTCAAAAGAACCTGAGCCACAGGAGCCCCCGACTACAAACAAACTGATATCACAATCCCTTCCTGAACCTGGCCTGTCAGTCCCGATACTGAAACCGTACTATCTTACGACGTGCTACGAAGCTAAACCAGCTATAAACCTAACTAAAGAGTTAGATTCCCTAACCATCTCACAAGGTTCATCTTCGCGTAAAGTTGAAAATAAATTAAATCAAGCTCACTCGAAACGTCAGCCACCCGCTGAGAATGATGATGGAAATGCGGGATGGAAGGGAGAAAAGTACGAGAGACAGACGATCGAAGGTGTTGACCAAACTTTCTTGACGTTCCAAGAACGTGTAAGCTGGTGCGGTCAATCAAATCAAGTGGTTAGGTAAGCCGTTCAATCCTTGTCTTGCTATACCACTTTTTTTGACCGAATGTATACCACGACAGGTATAAGGTGGGCGGAAACCCTTTACCCTTCAGTCGCGTTGATTCAGCGCCCGTCTATCGCTGCAATACGTGTGGGAGTCCGAAAGCATTTGAGGTGCAGTTTATGCCTGTGGGTGTCACACTCTTAAACCGAGAAATGCCGGCTGGTCATGGATTCACATGGTCTACGATGTGGGTAATGACTTGTTCACAAGATTGCCATGGGGTAGATGACAAAGATGAGGAAGGCTGGGTTGAGGAATCAGTCTTTTTACAATGGGAAGATTAGCGGAGTGGATGAATAGAGAGTAAGAACAGCTCGCACGGTGGAAGCGTGGGTCACGTAAGAATCAATGATGAACATTTAATGCTTCTTTGTTAGTGTTTTGAAGTCAATAATGAGATTCTATTTGATGACACAACTGTCACTATGTTGCAACTTTGGGCACTCTTTTTGAGCTGTGCGCACTTTTTCATGTGCCACCCAGAGGCTCCATATCGCTTGTCAAATGTACACATCTTGGACTGGTTGGAGTGAAAGCTGTGTGGTCATCTGAAACAATGCTTGCCACATTAGAGACACTCCTAATATCATCAAGCTCATTGTTGGCTGTAACAGGTAGTGCACCAGCCCCAACTACATCTTTCCCCACAATTGAGAACTCTTGTGACCAGAAGTTGATGAACACTGATTATTGCCAACTTGTAATTGAGATCATGGAGTGATCACTTAGGTGCATGATGTGTATAAACAAGATTACTTTAGATAAAAATGATGTGTTCCTTGAGTAAAATAGATCCATATGTAGAACAACCTGCTCTCCACTTGGTTATTCTCTGTTCTCTATCAAATTTAAATGATTTGTTTTGCTACAAGCTCCTCTTGTAGGTTGTGCTCACTCAATCATCCACCGTCTTCCTTGATAAGACTCTATCAGATCTAGTTCATTATGAGGATTTGCACAAATCCTTGATTCTTTTGTTTATGAGCCCAGCTCTCAAGTAATTTTGACCACCAATGAAAAATTTAAAACCTCATTTTGTGTTTGATTTTGCTACTTGACCACCATCAAACAATTCTCAAGTCTTTCATCATGTCCAACAAGAACATCAGGCCTACACAACTTCATTTCCTCAAGTTGGCCAAGACCATTGAATGGTCAGGCAACATTGTCACACATCTAAAGTAATGACTGTTGGACCCTAGCAGTTCATCAACATCAAGGTGTCTCCAAAACCACCTGTGAAAGTCAATGGTGGTGAAATGAGTCTGACTTTGCTTGAATTCCAACAAAGGAAGGCTGTTGGTATCAGCTTTGGTTGCATTCACAGGGGCAAAAATTGATGCTCACAACTATGTGAGCATTGAAATTTTCCTGTCTTGTCCCCATTTCTTTCCCATTTCTTTCTGCTTGTCAGCTCATTATGTGAGCAACAAAAACTGAGGAGATGAGTCAAGCCTTCCTCAGGCAACATTCCTTAGCAAAGAAGCCTGAGGCAGGGCTGGCCCATCTGCTCACTTCATCTAAGCCCCTCAGCTCATCCTCAGTGGCATCCCTTGACGCCTGCTGATCCAGGGGACACCTGTGGCTGGCTGGGCTTTTGTCAAGCTAGCCCCGTGTTGGGTTTTAAAACACCAACCCTAAACTGTTTTGGGAACAAGGGCAACTGGGACGTCCCCAACAGTGCTGACTGTCAGCTGACAGTAATCACTTTCACATTCAGCACTTTACATAGTTTCAAAATACAGACTGCGGATGTATGCGTGAGACTGTGAGTCATGTGAGTTCGCATTCAAATTTGAAATTTGAAATTTGAAATTTTGAAGATCTTGTTGACCGTTTTGATGATTTCTTAAAAACCATTTCACTCGTCCATCCAAGTTAAAGTCTTTGAACTCATCCAAATCAAAAAGAAGCCAAAATGAGCACTCCGAGACTTATAAATGGTGGGAACACCTTCTTACTCGCTCCAACTGCTTATGGCAAAACACGCGTACCGGAAATGTTTTTCAGCATGTTTGAAAAGGTCCCCAAACCAGTCGTCTTGACTATCATGGCCATCGATACACTCGGGGATCAAATGGTGATTTCTTCATTAGAATGATCATGAGACTGATTCCAAAGGAAGTATTGACATTTGTTTCTATGTACTTTCAGGTTTTGGATAAGCAAGCATTAGGTATGACTGCGGTCAACTTGACCCGAAGGACAATGAATAGAGTAACCTTGAAAAGATTGAAGAAAAGCTATTATTCATTCATCTATGTCGTATGTCTTTTTTTTGAAAATCAATCTTGGACAATCACACTGATCTGATTTGGTGGTGATTTTTATGTGCAAAGAGCCCAGAGATTTTCTTAAACAATCAAGATTTCCATGATTTGTACCATAGCGCCGAATTTCGACGGCACCTAACTTTAAGAGTGATCGACGAAGCCTACTGGCTTCATCTTTGGGCTATGAAGAAAGACGGGGAATCGAAGGACTTCTCTGCTCATGTCACTCCAGAAGACGTGGAAATTTTTAGACCATCACATCGTTATGACCTTTTTGAAGAACTCAAGTCGACCGAGAAGACCCCATTATTGCTCATGTCGGCAATCTGTAGATCTGAATCGATTATTTCAATCCTTCATAGTTTTGACATGCTCCCAATTCACATTAAAATGCAAACAGGCGAGATGGTTCGCCCAGAGCTTCGTTACATTCGAGTTTCGATGTCTGAACCCCTCGAGACTGCCGAAGATTTACTCAGCATCATCCCATCTGAAACGGTGGTCTCAAATAAAGAATTACCTCGAATGTTAATTTACTCAGGAACTATAGATCGCACGTTGGGAGTGATGAGAGCGGTTTGTAACGCTAGAGGTAATCCTGATGACATCAACAATGGGATCAGTGATTGCATTCGACGTTATCATTCTTTAACTGGTGAAGAAGATAAAAAGGAACGAGCAAGAGAGTTTGGCGTAGAAGAAAAGTTTCCGATTCTCTCATGTACCCCTGCTTTCGAATTCGGTCAATCCTTCAAACCCGTGAAGATTGTGGTTATAATGGGTGCCATGGATCCTTCGATATCTAACTTGATAGGTGGGCGAGCTGGACGGAATGTTGATTGTGGCCTAGTTATTCACTTTGTTCAACCCAACATGCCAAACAGTCCCAACACCGCCAGTGAAGTTGTGGTGACGGACACAATGAATAATGAAGAACGCATGCATGCATTTCGTCTCACGCCATGTTGCCTCAGGGCGGCTTACAATATGGATATGGATATTTTGTAAGTCCTTGTTAGCATTCATGTTGAGGTATGGAGCGCTAACCAGAACCGAATTCGATTTTTACAGATATCGATATATTCCAATGTCATTAACTGACCCCGGTTATCTAGCAGAGATGGAACGTCAACGTACTGCAGGAATGGCTGTGTGCCGATGCTCAAACTGTGATCCTCAAGGAGCAGCTCGAGTGCTTCGCCTCTTACCACAGACGAAAGCAGCTGATCTGGATGCACTAATAAAATCATAGTTCCACCAATCCTACCAACCCCTGTTTCCTCAACTCAACCGACTCCGAAAAAAATTGTCCAAGAGATGAATTATATAGCAAGAAAATTATGACAAGAAAATTGTTTATAAAAATATTTACATCAAGAAAGGTTTTGAAGAAATTGTACTATCACAAACAAATATTCACAGTTGCAATCAAATATATGACTCTTTCAAAGAATATTAAAAGAAATGAAATCTGATTAAGAACAAATCAAATCATGAGAGTTTGATCCTTTATCATCCGTTGGAAGTGCAGTTTCAGTTCCAGTGTGATTTGAATTATCAATTTGAGTTAAGTTTTGAGTTGTATTTGGTTGATGTTGATGATGAGTAACAGTATAATTAGCGGTGTACAAACCTACGACCCAACTTGAAAACCCATGAGAAAAACCCATGAAAACCCAACTTGTTTTTGGGTTTTTTTGACGGGTTTTTTCTCATGGGTTGAAGTTGGCTAGATTTGACCACCCATCAAAGAAAGAAAATTAGCTGAGTCCAACATCCCCCTTCCTTGCCGACACAACACCTCCAAACTGTCCAGAAACCTTCCACCAAACAGTCTTACATCCCCATCAACTCCTGGAACTCGTGCTACAAAATCTCAAGAACGAATTAGCTTCAACTCCTCCTAAGAGATGTCCAAAATGATGACGACTAATCGAGCTACCAAATTGGCCACAAAAGAAAACATCACAATCTCCAAGATGAAAGCCAAGCTGCAAAAACCTTTTTATGTAAAAGATATAACACAATTAGATTTGATTTGATTAACAAGTTCATCATTATTATAAATTCGATCTCGGTCAACTTCTTCTTCATATCGTTCAACTTTTCAATTTATCATTTTCCTCGTGAAGAAGTGATACTAGGAATAGGTGATAATGTTTTATCATCCACAGCTCCATTATTGGATTATCAAATAGTTTCATTTTTTTACCTTAATCGATCAACCAAAAATTGCAGTTAGTTCTAGAGAGTGACTTGTTTCAATCTTTTTTATTTTAATCGATTATCTTTGAATACCTTTTATTAAACTCTGCTATATAAGATCGGTTTCTTTAGTTTGTTTCAACTCTTGCAATATGAAGAAATCAAAAGAGATTGTTTTATTTCAAAGAGAAACATGTCTAAATCGACTTTTGAGAATGAGTAGACTTCTACAAGTCAGAGATCGTTTTGATTCAAATAATCTTGTCTAAATTGCTGTTGTTGGCATCAGCATCGGCATTGTACTTCATGAGGGACACCCTCATCAAACAAGCAAGTAGATTTTGAAGACAAGTCATGGATGTGGTCGATGCAAGACAAGTGATGTGAAGTAAAATCAAGGCATCAAGTGATGACAGGAACTGTTGTAAGGTTCGAATGAAACCTTCACTAGATACTTCGGACGGGACACTGTGAGGCACAGCGAGGGGTTTTCTAGAACCCAAAGAGATCCGATCTTTTATTACTAAACCTCCAAGAACACGTCTGGTTCCGAAGGATAGAGGGTAGGAGATCAGTCCCGATATCTCTCAGCGCTACAAGACTAATAGTAAGAAAGAAAATAGAAAAGAAGAGAGAACTATACCTGGTTCCGAAGGATAGAGGGTAGGAGATCAGTCCCGATATCTCTAAGGAACCAGTCTCGAGAAGAATTGAAAACAACTATAAGAACCATGCTTAAGTCTATGTTAATAATTAAGTCTATGTGTATGTAATGACCACAAGTCTTACAGTCTCCCCTCCTTTAAAGGAATAGGGCGGCCTGGAAAAGTGAAAAGAAAAGAGAAAAAAGAAAAAAAAGAAAGTTTGTTCATAAAAGAAATAAATGTAACCCGTATAATTTTTTTTTTTTTTTTTTTTTTGTAAAGTAAGTTTGAAAAGAAAAGAAAAAAAAGAAAGAAAAAAGTGAAATAGAAAATTAAAGTAAAAGAAAATTTTAGAACTAAAGTTGAGTACTTGAGTTGAGGAGGTGGGTGATGGTTGGGTCGTCCAAGTACGTCTGTCGTGGGATCTATGAAAGAATCGTCGAAAATTTTGTGCTCACAGCGTGGCCGAGGTTTTGTTTTTTATGACAATTTTCGTAGTATACTACGGCGGTGCATACAAAGGATAGGAACTTACTTCCGTACACTTTTTATCAGCGTATTGACCCCATCCTCCTTCCTCTCCACGTAGGGTTTCACCTTGGATACATGGAAAACGTTGTGACGCTTATCTCCGTTTGGTAACTCCAGTTCCACATTTTGACCGTGATTTGAAGTCTTGATTACCCGATAAGGACCTTCAAAACGCTCCTTGAGCTTGTTCACACCCCCTTGATGACGCCCACGCCAGTCGGCGGAATCTAGGAGTGCCCAGGAGTTCGGTAATAGCGGCTCTGCACTGCGGCAGTTTTTGTTGTGTTGTAAGGCCTGCTGAATCCTGTTCGTCCAGAGTGAATCCCGCGCTGTAAGCCAAGCGTCTTGTCGGCTATTGAGCCATTTGGTGAGTGCCGTCGGGTCAGAATCAAGTGCGTCACGAGTTGACAGTAGGCGTTGTTCTTTACCGAAGATAAGCTCAAACGGAGATTTGCCAGTAGCGACGTTAATTGCTCCATTAATGGCGTACTCTACTGCTGCCAGGGACTCCAGCCACTTGCCCTGCCTCTTAGCAGTAAAGGTTCGTAAGATTTGGCCAACGGTGCGGTTTGTTCGTTCGCTCCTTCCGTCTGCTTGAGGGTGGAAGGCCGTAGACATGTGAAACGCCGTCCCGCATCGTGACATCAGTGCTTTCCAGAAATTAGATGTCCAAGATTTATCCCGGTCACTGATAATTGATGTTGGGGCTCCAAATGTACCAATCCATCCTGAGAAGAAACGTGATGCAATCTTTTCGGCGGTATCTGTTTGTCCACAGGGAATGATCTTTGTAAAACCCGATAACCTACAGGTACAAGTCAAAATCATGTCATAGTTGTTCACTTTTGGCAAGGGTCCTACAAAGTCGATAGCTAGACATTCCAACGGAAGGCTGGGTATAGTCGGAGTTAGCATCTTCCCCACCGGAGCCTGAGTTGGTCCTTTTGTCCGTTGACAGACATTGCAGGATTGGACAAATTCCTTTACGTCAGTCGCCATGCATGGCCAAAAGAAGTCACGTCTCAGATCCGTAATAGTCTTGATGTAGCCCAAGTGACCCAGTCGAGAATGTGCTTCATTCACTAATTCATATCTCAACTTCTCGGTATAAGGAATGTACAACCGGTTTTCAATGAATAATAAGTCTTCAATGATCTTACAGTCGTCTCGTAATGGAAGAACCGAAATGATGGTCGCATAAAATGAATCTGCATTGTACCCTTCTTGAATGCGTTTACGCATCTGGGCTGACAAGGTGGGACCTGCTTCAACCAACGCTGCTATACACTCCACACCTTCCTTCTCCACCTCTTCATCTTCGTGATCTTTCCTTGATAAAGCATCAGCTACACAGTTATCCTCTCCCTTCACATACTTAAAATCTACATCAAAGTCAGCAAGTGTTTCAATCCATCGCGCTTGCCGTCTGCTCAGCGTTCGTTGTTTGAAGAGATACGTTAGTGAGTGGTGGTCACTCATAATGTTGATTTTCATGCCTAAAAGCAGCATGCGCCACTTGTGCAGGGCGTGTATTACCGCTAATAACTCCTGCTCGTGTACAGGATAATTCCGCTCTGCTGGTGTCATTTGCCGTGATTCATAAGCAACGGGCGACGCGAACTTCCACTCCTTCCCTTGAAACAACGCGGCTCCTAATCCGCAACCGCTCGCATCGGTGAATAACCATAAAGGGTCTTCAGAGTCAAAATCTATATTTTTCAAGTGCGGTAGTGAAGTCATGAGTCTCTTGATATTAATGAATGCATCTTCTTCTTCTTTTCCCCATCTGAAATTAGCAGGATCAATCTTAGTACTCGTGAGTGGTGTCAATTTATTAACGTATTTCTCCAATCCCCAGATAAATTTCTTCATCCATTGTACTGTACCCAGAAATTTCTTTATACCTTTTGCTGATTTAGGTCTTTTCCAATTCAAAACTTGTTCTACTTTCTCGTCATCTGCTCTGATACCTTTTGCTGAAATCCAATGACCTAAAAACTTGATTTCATCTCTGAACATCTTGGTTTTCTTCTTGCTGCAATAAAGATTTGCTTCTCGTAGTTTTTGTAATACCATTCGTGTGTGGATGGCGTGTTCTTCTGGTGAGTTTGAAAAAACAACAATATCATCAAGATATACAACGCAAATAGTGTTCAGTAATTCTCCAAGAGCTTCTTCTAGTCTACCTTGATGAGTACTTGGCGCGTTGGTTAGGCCCATTGGCATCACACACCACTCGTAGAGTCCCCAAGGTGTGTGTACAGCCGTCAGAGGTATGTCGGCCTCACGCATTCGAGTTTGGAAAAAAGCGTTTGTGAGATCAATGATGGAGAAAATTTTTCCAGTAGCTACTAACCTGACCAACCGGTCCACATTAGGTAGTGGCGCGCGGTCCCTCACGGTCAAGCTGTTCAAGACACGGTAATCGCATACCCATCTCGGAAGTTCGGCAGGGTCCTTCTTTGGTATAATCAAACTCGGTGAAGCATATTGACTAGTTGATCTTCGAATTCGTCCAGCTTGAAGATGTTGATCGACTAATTTTTTCCACACGTTCATGTGTTTAGGTGGATAATTGTATTGCTTCTCGTTAATGACTGCGTCAGGATTTTTCAAGATTATCTTATGTCGTATCTTCGAGTTCTCATTCTGTAGCTTTTCTGGAAAGGATCCATCGACAAAAAGACCTTCTTCTTCTGCTTCATCTGATACTGCTGGTATGTCCGCAGGAAATAAATCATGGAATTCTTCAAACATCTCAACTTCTAACCTTTCTTTTTCACTCAACATTGAAACACTCTCCTTCTCACTCAATTGTCTCTCCCAAGGGGCGGTATAATCTTTACGAGGTTCTATTACGCGGGGAATTGTC